CATTTAACAATGTATTGAGTCTTAAATTCTAAAAGGCTTAAATTCTTTTCACACATTGCAAAATATCTACTAACATGTCACTTAAAACTTAGTTATATAATGTACTGCAGTTATATGAATTACTGTGTTCTGATTGGCTGGAATCGGACACACCTTACCTAGCTATGTGTGAAAAATAATTAATAAAATGGGTAATATATTTCAAAATTTCATGTGGATAAAAATCTGTTCTGATAGAATGCTCTGTTCAAAATCTATTTTTGTTAAAATTATGTTGGAATTACATTTCTCCATTTTTTTAAAAATTATTACTTCCTTATAACCCCCCTATCACACCAAATTAGTTCTTACCTGTTCTTGCCAGTCCTACGAAAAAGTCGTAAAACGGGCTCAATCTGGCTGTGGTCGGGAAATATGTCTAAAATAATTAGCTACTTTGTTCATAAACAGTCTTCAATACGTCCATCTCATTCGCAGTTCTTTCAGGTCGCACCACGTTGGTGTGCAACGTTGTATAACGCGTCCCTTAGTCTAGAAGGTCATCATGACCTGATTACAGAACGGTATGGTCGCCATCGAATTTTGAATCATTTCAAAATTCTAAAATCACCTTACTGTCTGAGAACGTTCATGAAGTTCGTAAATAGTCCTTAGAAAGTTGCAGCTACGTTCATTCCGTTTGCACACAGTTTAAAACCAGTTTTGAAGAACGCAGTGGCAACTTGTTTGGTGTGATAGCTATATTTTTGCTAACTCGTTCATAAGCAGTCTTTAATACGTTCTTAATCAGTTTAAACCCGTTTGCAATTAGTTCTACCTTGTCCTCAATATGTCCTCAGACAGTTCAACTCGTTGTAAAAACGTCCCTAGTAGGATTTAAGTACGACGGTTCCGTTCGTAGTACGTCCAGCTCGTCGTTAGTACGTTGTCATTCGTTCTAATTGTAGAACGTGACTACCACGAGAGCATTTTGAGCAAGTTCTAAGTTCTAGAGGACCTACCCGTTCAAGTACGTTCGATGAAGTTTGTAAATAGACCCCAAACGGTTCTAAGTACGTCCAGTCCGTTCGTACACAGTTGAAGCCCGTTTTCAAAACGTAGTGAGAACTAGTTTGGTGTGATAGTAGGGTTAGTTCTTCAGCCATCTTGTCCTGCCTTCTTAGATACATGGATCATGATCAGATGAAAACCCTTCTATACAATATATATTGTATAAAGACTCTTGTACTCATTATGCTCTAGTGTGCTCTAATTTTGGCTGTAAACCTAAACTTTGATTTTTATAAAAACCATACCCGAGTACGTACCTGTGCTCTTTGTGACACCCTTAGGCTTCACTAATGCCAACCAACTAAGCAACGCTTGTTTTGAAAGTGAACAAACACATAGGCCTAATCATGTGATGGTGAGATTCTCAGAACTCACAGACTTGTTACCTTATAAGGTAACAAGTACACATTGAGTTCATGACATTCAACTTCTCAGAAGCTGGAAGTAAGTTGAGAATAACAGCTATAAAATTTGATTCAATAGTTCATGTTAAAATATAGATTCTCTTTTGTTAAGGAACCTCCATTGTATTGATTTTTATGGATTTGTATGAATTATCAATGTCACTTAGTTGAATTGATTTTCTGAATGTCTAGCTCAGTGAGCTGAAATTATTAAGTCTCATGTATATTTTTTTTCAATTGTTGTTCAGTCAGGTTATGACTTTTTGTGGATTTGATAAAAATAGTTTCCTTCACAGGAATAAATTTTCAAAGAGGTTCTATTCTGACCCTAAAGACATGGCTGTGCTGACCCCTTCTACTGACAGGATGTCAGGCCTTCTCATAGCTTCAACTTTTAATAAATTTCCCCTTTTTTTCCTCTTTTTATGTCACCACCAAAACGTGGTGACATATTGTTATGGTCTCCATTTTTTTTCAAGTTTTTCAAAATCATCTACAAGTTTTCAAAAGTCAAATCTGGCTTTATATTTTAAAATTTGACCTTCACTGACCTTTCAAGGTAAAAAAAAGTTAAAAAAGGTCAAAAAGGTATTTTTCAACTTGCTCCAAATTGCCCAATTTTTTTTCAAAATCATCTACAAGTTATGATAAACCATTTACTTTGGGCTGATGATTTAATTTTATTGTCAAATACTGAAGATGGAGGAGCGCAAAAAATGTTAAACTGTTTATTTAAGTTCTGTAAGAGGTATTTCCTTATTGTTAACACATTAAAGACGAAATCAATAATTTTTAATTCAAAATCCAATGTGCAATTCACTTTTAATGACAACATTATTGAAAGCGTTAATCACTATAAATATTTGGGCTGCATATTTAATAATAACATTAATTTTGATAAACACATATGTTATCTCAAAGAACAGGCAAGGAAAGCCCTTTTTAAAATTAAGCAACAATATAATTAACCATGTTCCTATCTCTGTTGCCCTGCATCTTTTTGATAGCTATAGCTTGGTTGAACCAATTTTAATGAATGCCTCTGAGATATGGCATAGTAAGAAGCATGTAAAAGCTATAGAGGCAATACACTTATCATTCCTTAAATGTTTGCTTGCTGTGAAAAAATCAAAAGCTACACCGGCTGTTTATGGGGAGCTAGGACGTTATCCTTTAAAAATTTATTTCAACATTAAGCTGATTAAATATTGGCTGCGTTTAATGAAATTACCTGAAGAAAATATGCTCAATAAATCATATTTGTATGACCTTGAAATGAATGGTTTAGGTTACTCTGGCACTTGCTCCAGTAAAGTTATTGACATATTAAAACAATGTGATTTATTTTCTCATTGGTTGACTCAAAATGTTGAAGATGATTAATTTATTCAAATGATCACAAAGAAATTAAAAATTAATTATGCACTTTAATGGAAACAGGATATTCTTACTTTTCCTGTTCTTAGAACTTATATAAAATTCAAAAATACTTTCACCAAAGAATCATATTTAAACATTCGAAATAAAAAGTATAGACATGCATTAACTAGGCTCAGGATGAGTTCACATAAATTACAGATAGAAGTTGGGCGATATTTAAAACCAAAGCCAAAACCCACAAGTTAAAGGTTGTGTAGTGAATGTGGGGTGATTGAGGATGAGCTTCACTTTATCACAAGCTGTACAAAGAACTTAAAACACAGAGAGCTTTTGTTTGAAACTTTAAAATCTGATCTGAAACAGTGCAAAGATCCAGATAAATTGTTTGAAACTATTATGTCTAGTAAAAGCTCTCATGTTAACTTACATTTAGCCAAATATATCACTCTTTTAAAAATTTGGAAAATGATTATTATGTAAACATTTTTAAAAACACATGTATTATGGATACACCACACTGATATCATACCCTGACATATGAAACTGATGTAAAGTAGTTTTGTAATATGTCGTTGTAGTTTGTAGTCTTTTGTACACTGTAGTGACTGATATGTCATTTACATGACATGGTTATCGAGTCAATAAAAGATATATATATCAGAAATACAAATCTAACTTTATATTTGAGATTTGACCTTCAATGGCCTTCTCAAGGTCAAAAGGGACAAAAAGGTCTTTTTTCAACTTGCTTCAGATTTACTAATTTTTTTCAAAATCATCTACAAGTTCTTAGAAATTCAAATCTGACTTATTAAGATTGAACTAATAATATTGTGAGAAACTAGGTGGTGACATTTTGTCATGTTGATGCCTTGTTCAAAATTCTATATTTTTGTTATCTTGTCCTGATAGGCAACTGAACATTTGAACAGAAGGACATAAATCTCGTCATCAAAATTTCAGGAAAAAGTTTAATCATACATGTTCAACTTGAAATTTTTACAGATACAACAGAATACTTGTGCCAAGATCTGATTGGGTTTTGGGCATGCTGGGCAAGTTACATGGGCGCCATTCTGATATTTTGCACTGTGTGTCTTGTTTGATAACATCTTTGAGTACTTAGCATCGCAAAGTTGACTGGAGTCATCTTGTTCCATCTCAAAATGCATTTGACCATAAAAAATCTCTAATGAGTATTGAAATTTAATTCATTATATTAATCGAATATAGAAGAGAACTGAGAATGACAAGTGGTATTTTAGCATATTTATACAGGCATCACAAATATTTAGTTAGTGCTTTCTTAGGTTTTGAAAAGATTTTTGAATAAGAAGTCAAACCAGCCTTTAACCTTGATGTGTATTTTAGTGTGCACTTTTCAATGAACTATTTCAATGAAGTATTTTTTGAATACAAATAACATGAGTCAGAGTTTTATGTTTACTTCTATTCAACAAAGGTAATTTTCTTTTACACAATTCTCTCAATGATAGTTAAGATGTTCCTGCTTATTTTTATTGCACCCTTGGGTACTATATTGTAATCAGTTTGCCAGGCTTAGGGGTGGGCGGTTAGGCAGGCATCCCAATAAATCTCATCTACAGGTTTCCAGCCAAACCATTACAGGGATTCATCTGAAATGTTCAGGTATGTTTCAACATATGAAAGCTTAGAACTGATCAGTTTTGGGGCATTCTGGGTAAATGTTGTTAAGGAGGCCATTTCGGATTTTCTGTCCTTAAATCTTGTTTGCTGATGCTTGTCTACAGGCAAATCGTCTCATGGATTCAACTGAAATTTTCAGGGATGTTTCTAGGTATGAACGTTTAGAACTGAATAGTTTTTGGGCATTCTGGATAAATGCCAAGGTGGTCATTTTGGATTTGATGAGTTTTTTGGGGCAATCTGGGTAGGTAAATGTTAGGGTGGCTATTTTGAATTTTCCATCTGAAAGCTGTATTCTATTCTAGGGTGCGATCCTGTTCACTCTGTGTTTTGTTTTTTACACCTGAAGCCAGATAGTTTCCCAGCAGTTTAGGATGTTGCCTTGGTATCGAATGACCCTTGACATGCAAGGTGACTTTTTCTTTTGACTTTAAATCTACAGACCTTCTACAGAATTACCAGATACAATAGTTGTAAGTTATCTGGGTATAAAATACTTGAGATAAGATCCTTAATGAAGATTCTAGTAGTTGAACAAATGGTCAAAATTCGATGAAAATAGATTCAGTTTTAGTTCAGTAAAAGAAATGCATCGGCCTCTCAGGTAATTAGAAAAACAAATCCCAAGGGATTTAATTGAATTTTTGCCATTTTACCAAAATCACAAAGTGGGCAAAATTAAATCATACATGAAAAATGAACTTGATTCTCAGTTATGATCCTTGACCTTCAACACATATTTTGATACACATACATTTAATAAGCCATAACCTTGACTGCGTCTGTAACAAATTCTTAAAACCTCCAAACTTAACAAATACTGTTTAGACTGTCTTCAATTTTTTTCAAAATCATCTACAAGTTATCAGAAATTCAAATCTGACTATACATTTAATATTTGACCTTCTGTGACCTTTTCAAGGTCAAAAAAGGTCAGAAAGGTATTTTTCAACTTGCTTCAAACATCTAGATGTACAAGTACAAGTTATCAGAAGTTCAAAACTGACTTTGAATTCAAATTTGACCTCCAATGTCTTTCTCGAGGTCAAGAAAAGGTCAAAAATGTATATTTTCAACTTGCTTCAAATTGACCAATTTCTTTTTTCAAAATCATCTATAAGTTCTCAAAAGTTCAAATCTGACTATTCAATTCAATTCAATTTCAAAAATAATTTATTTCAGTTTTCATTACAAAAATTACAACATTATACAGGCTATGACACCCCAGGAGGTGTATGACTGCCCATAATTAAATTTACAATAAACATGATACACTGTGAACATTTAAAGTGGTACATAGGTCAATACAATAATATAATATAAATACAAATACAATAATATGAGACAATAAAGAAATGAAATAAATGTTTTGGTTACTCTGTACTCAGGAGGTCAATTTTCAAACGAGATATGAGTGAATTTAATGGTTTATTTCTAATATCTTCATTGAGGGAATTCCATATATATGAACCATGGACCTTAATAGAATTTTCACCAATTCTGGTTCTATGTTTAGGAATATCTAAGTTATGACCAAATCGAGTTATACGTTGATGTATGTTTTCTCTAGTTTTGAAATAGTGATCGTATAATTTTGAAGGGAACTGTACAGATTTGCTTATAACTTTTTTCATGAATGAAACAGTTTGTATTGTGTGAATATGATAAATCTTAAGTATTTTAAGATCTTGAAAAATTGGGAATGTGTGAGCTAATCTATCTGAATTTGTTATTAATCTAACAAATTTCTTTTGCAATATCAGTAGTTTATTTAATAGATTCTTACAAGCATTTCCCCATAAAATATTACAGTAATTAAGATGAGAAAAAATCAGAGAGTTATATATTATCATCTTTGAATTTAAAGTATGAGCATAATTTGTTCGATATAACATTCCTATAACATTTGAAACTTTTCTATGAAGAGCATTGATATGGGGAGCCCAAGATAATTTTGAATCAATAATTACTCCCAGGAATCCTATCTCATCTACTTTTTCAAGGTTAGAATTTGCAATTTTTATTTCATTGTTCACAGATATATTTCTTTTATTTCCAAAGACCATGTATTTTGTTTTCTTAACATTTAAAGTGAGTTTATTGGCCAACAACCAATCATTGATGTCGCACAGTTCAGAATTTACGGTTGTGGTCAAATTATCAAGATTGGAATCACTACATAATATATTAGTGTCATCCACCAGTTTGAGTTTATCAGAAACTAAATAGAAATCATTTACAAATATGATAAATAGGAGGGGGCCTAGAACAGACCCTTGGGGTACTCCACAGTTAACGATTGCCTCTTCAGACAAATATTTCTCGGATAAACTTTTAGAGTATTCAGTTTTCATTTTTCGATTTGATAAATAAGATGAAAACCATGAAAGTGCAATTCCTCTTATACCATAATGTTCCATTTTTTAAGTAATATTGCATGATTAACAGTATCAAAAGCTTTTGATAGATCCAAATATATTCCGATACAATATTCTTTGTTATCTAATGAATGTCTGACATTTTCAATAAATTCTAGGAGTGCCATGTAAGTTGATCTATGTTTATAGATTTGACCTTCAATGACATTCTTAAGGTCAAAAAAGATTTGACCTTCAATGACCTTCTCAAGGTCAAAAAGGTATTTTTCAACTCCCTTCAAATTGACAATTTTTTTTCAAAATCATCTACAGAGTTCTCAGAAATTCAAACCTGACTTAAGATAGAACTACATGTAATAATATTGTTAGCAACTAGGTGGTGACATTTTGTCATGTTAATGCCTTGTTAAATCTGCCATTAACTTCCTTGAAATATGAACACCTGCCAATCTGAACACTTTTGGCCTGCTCTAGTTGTCTTTGGACTAGACGAGTCTTACTATATTTTTTGCTCTCATATTTAAGGAGAACGAGTATGAAGACCAGTTGATGAACCTGGCCCTTGTTAGCAGCCCAGTGCACATGATAGAGGCGGCTAGGTACTATGAGAACAAACATGATGGCATGGACAAAGCAGTCATGCTCTATCATAAGGTAATTATTACTAAAGTTTAAATTTTTATGGAGTTTTAAAAAACTGGACTTACATAATGTCTGAGTTATGATTCTTAGTTCATCTAGAGTTGAGGTCAAAGTTTCTGTAATTCCGTTTTTTGTATAGTCTTAAAAATTAGCAGTAAACTTGTGGCTATTTCACCAATGCATATTTATAGGTCATACTTTACTAGTTAAATAGGTAGAAAAACACAAGTTTACAAATGATCATATATTTAATAGCTTATCTAAGATATTGGTAAAGCCATATAATCTATTTTCCATGAAAATAATTCCTTTTTATTGATAACTTTAGGGTGGGAATTTTGCCAAAGCACTAGATCTTGCATTCCAAAGTCGTCAGTTAGGGGCTCTCCAACACATAGCAGAGGACCTTACTGACACTACTGATCCTGAACTGCTGCAGAGGTGTGCTGACTTCTTCATGGAGAATGGACAGTTCGATAAAGCAGTGGATCTGCTTGCAGTAGGCAAAAAGGTAAGACAAAATAGTGTACCATTCTGTTATAGATTATGAAGCTTGATGCTGCTTTTCAAATCGGAAATTGTGGTGTGTACAGGGTTCATATGCATGTATTTTTATCTAGAAATGTTATATCAGTTCCATTCACTATACTATTATTTTTGGGAAAATATAAAAAAAAAGAATTTTTATGACAACATACATCAACCATAATTTTGATTATACTATGAATTTGATATCATCCTTATCCATCGTTAATTTAAATTGTTTATCAATGGTTGGCTAAAGATGCCCAAATAATCTCCAGTATACTGGGCTGTATTTTGTACATCTGTGATTTCTAGTACATCGAGGCCCTAAAACTATGCCACCAACACCAAGTGCCAATGACAGAGGAACTAGTGGAGAAACTGACACCTGCTAAAGGGGTGGCTGAGAATGAAACTGATGAGAGAAACAAGTAGGTGATCTATTAATGCTTCGTCTAATCATTTAGTTCTAGCTTTTTCTTCAGATGATTTAATCTATTAGTCTAACGTTGATTTATTTGTAATGTTTTGTCCACATTATCATTTAATTAGAACGATTTAGGTTTTGATCAGTATTAGAAATACTTGTATTTGTTTTATTTTTAAAATTATACTGGTTTTCTTGAAGAAAGATGACATGATCTTAATTGAACTTTTTCTTTACACTCAAGGATATTAGAAGGAATAGCTGAAGTGTGTATGAACCAAAGACAATACCATTTAGCAACCAAGAAGTTCACACAGGCTGGAAATAAAATGAAGGTACATTGTGCATTGTATTTACAATCTTACCCACTATAAATAAAACAATCTGGATTGATGTATGAGTGATAAAAATGCTGAAAAATAATTAAAAATGGATTAATGCTAGTTCCATTGATTTCTGATTTGATTCTCTTTCTTTTTTTCATGACAATAGTCCGAAACAACTTAAATTTTTTTTATTTATCATCTTTTTTTATTTCAAGTTCATGTGTTATAACATCTAATATCATACAATGAAAATTCAACAAGGTTAATCAATTTAACTTTTGTTAAACAAGTTATATCAATAGATAAACCCTGCTGCTAGTATCTTATTTTGATTTAAATTAAATGCTATGTGTACAGTGCTGCCCTCTACTGTATTTATCTAGTAATTTGAATTATGTATTTCATCAAATACATATCTGTTTATATGCTTTTTATGCCACTTTCAAAAGCATTAAATTTATACATGTATGACATATTAAATGTTAATAAAAAATGTTTTTTTCCTTGTATTTTCCAGGCTATGAAATCTCTATTAAAATCAGGTGACACAGAGAAGATCATTTTCTTCGCTGGGGTGTCTCGTCAGAAGGAGATCTATGTAATGGCTGCTAATTATCTCCAATCGTTGGACTGGCGAAAAGATCCCGAGATCATGAAAAACATTATAGGGTTCTATACCAAGGGACGTGCCCTAGACTCACTATCAGGCTTCTATGATGCTTGCGCAATGGTATGTTATTTTGTATAAATTATTCTTGTCGAAACAGAAATATGTTGTGGAATTTTTGATCACATGGTACTACATTAACCAATCAGAATATTGGGATTCCAGAAATGATATAATATTGTATATGTGCAATATTTCCAGGTTGAAGTAGACGAATACCAGAACTATGACAAAGCACTTGGGGCCCTGACTGAAGCCTACAAATGTCTCACTAAAGCCAAGATGAAGAATCAGACTCAACAAGAGGAGAAACTCGCAGCCTTGAAGACGAGGATCACACTCATGAAGAAGTTTGTCACTGCACGAAGGTACATTTTCATCCAAAATGCTATATATATTGAAAATTGATTTGCATTGAATTTAAATATACATTTGTCTACTGCAATAAAACCTGTCAATTTGAAAGTGGAACACCTTTGGACTCAAGTTGAGAGGTGTTCCACTTATCAGACGTTCATTCAACATTAAGTCAATTGGTCTCTGAAAAGTGCTCGACTTGTAGAGGTGGTCCACTTGTAGAGGTGTTCCACTTTACCTGTTTCACTTTATTTTGATTCTAGACCTCTCCTTGTGTAAGTGCTAGATCAATGGAACAAAAACAGTCACTAAAATCTTCATGCACACATCGTGTTTGCCTTATAAATAAAACAACACAATTCTGCTTCTAGAGCCTATGATGAGGATAAAGATGAAGCTGTTAAAGCTTGTCAGGTCCTACTAGAAGAACCAGAACTAGATTCAGCTGTTAGAGTAGGAGACGTTTTTGGATTCATGATTGAACATTATGCCAAGAAGGAGCACTGGAAAGCTGTAAGTGTTTTATTTCCTATTAGTGGTGGCGATATATATTGTTATGGTCTCAAACTTTTTGTGGATGCTGTGTGGCGGTTGGTAATCGGCATCTGTAACAAATGGCAGATTGTGCTCCAAATTGTTTGACCTAGTAAAATATGTGCTATCATTAATAATTTAGAAATATGTTACTGTTGGATAACTAGTATGAACAAAAGATATCATATCATTTCTTGCTTTTGACAGATTATCTTGTTAGAGTCAATTTCAGAAATCATCCCTGCATTCAGCATTGTGATGACGACTGTTATCTTTATTATCATTCTTATATTTGGTAATTCCTATATTCATTGCAACACAAATACAAAAGACCACAGGTGACATCTATTTTGTAAAAGTAGATTATTCTATGTATTATGTCACATTTATTTAGTATTTTGAAACATTAGACTCTTTGACATGCTAGGTTTTTGTTCAAGTCATTTATTCTGAAATTAATCCTGAACGTAATGTTCAAATTCATTTGTTGTCAATCAAATGTTGTTTTCTTAACAATGATATTTATAACAGTTTTTTTTGCAAATAATTTTTATTGAATATATTTAGACTTTCAATTTGGAATTTGATTTTACTTTTGAAATTTTGATTTTACCATTTTTAAATCACACACAATTCCATCATTATCCAGTTCATTCATCTTTCAGGCATATGCATGTATGGAGGAGATGCGAGCAAAGATCCCTAAAGTGAACCTAGGTTACTATGTTAACATGAGGACTATAGAACAAGTGCATAGTGCCCTACAGATCCCGCTGGGTCGGGGTACGGGGGCGGAGATAAATGGCTTCCAGGCAGGCTCCCCGGGAGATGAGGAGACAGGCGAAGAAGTTGAAGAGGATGTCATCGATGACTTTGCTGATGATTGAGATCTCATACAAGGACTTGAATATTGGCACCCTTGAATCTGGTCCTGCTGATTCTTCATGTTTAGATGTAATATCAGAGTCCTGGAAATTGGAAATACGAACGTGTAAATATGTATCTCTCTGTATACAGGTATATCAGGACCCTTGTATCAAATACTATACTTATGGTTCTACATGCTCAGAGATCTTTATACATATCTGCCTTAATATAGATCAGTCCCTGTTGGATGCCTGTGATATATCAAATCTGATACAGGAGTGCTCATCTTGGAGCCTTTGATTTCTTGTTAATTTCACATTGGGACCCATGAATTCATCTATTTTTGTGGAACGTGTGAATGCATTTGTCTAAATTTATCTTTTGTGAGTATCAGAGCCTGTGAATTCAGGTGTGGAACAAGGTCCATGATGGTTAATTGAGCTAATCAAGCAAGTCCTATGTCATGGCATTTCATAATTTATAAGATTGATTAATTTTTCATTGATTTGTTTGGTGTGCAAAATATGTTTCCATGGTAACATATAATGACAGTGGTATTTTTGAAAAAGTTCAAGCCCAGCCCAATTTTCTACATCATTGCACCTCATATTTTTCAGCCAAACAGAAGATTGTTGTCATGGTAATGACTGAGGTGAGACCGTCCATTACTTTTATGGAGAATTAAAAAAATATTTATGCAGTATTTCAGTTACATTGAGCAAGGTACTATACATACTTTATATGAATCTCTTAAAAACTACAAATGTAGTCATATAATTAGCGGTGCACTAATCAAGTGCCTTTCATTTGCACATACAGTAAAACGTACATGAACCTTTCTTTATGAATGTACCCAATACAAAAATGTATTTTATATACAATAGTTGTACTGGTTTTAAAAACCATTACTTATTTGAAAATTGATGCATAACTGTATTTTTAATCTTACATAACTTTATGGTTTTATAATGCGTATCATATTATATCACATCATATATTATGGAATTGTAATTGGTCAATTTTATATATCGCTTGCAATTTGTCACCCCCTACATCTCTGATTCTTGCTTTAATAGTTGAATTTGCTTTGACAACAGCTAATAAGTTGAGAATACACTTAAATATGAGTGTATTCTGATTGTGTAAATTATGATATTCGTGGTGTTATGAAATGTCAAAGTGATGTAAGATCTGTGCATTTTAATAGATGTATTGGTACATTGCTATAGAAACCGTTAAATAAGCATGTATACTTGACTCCCTTATTCCAACACTTTGGAGGTAATATAATTAGGCCATTAGGTAATACAATTAGGCCATTATTCCAGTTATAAAACATTTAATTGGATGTTACAGAACAGTCAATTTTTATTATCTCCCCACCACAGGTGGTGACATATTGTTATGGTCTCCAACTTTTTTGTGGGTGCTGTTTGATGTTTGTTGGTAGCCATTTGTAAGAATTGCAGGTTGGGACAGTTTGCATGTTGCCTTGTTTTATCATATCATTCTATTGTATCATATTTTCAAATTCAAATCTTTACAAAGTGCATCTAGCACGCCATTTGTGCTTTAAATTGGTATATACCAAAATAGAGGGATGACAATATTAAATGAGCTAAAAAAATATCCCCAGAACTATTATTTTCAGGAACATATCAAACATGTCAAAAAGCTATTCTTTTGAGTAGACTACATGTAGTACTACACATGTTGATGAGTTTATGTAAATAAGCCACCGCTAAGCTGACGCAAGGAGAAAATAGTTTTTTTAGGGAATACATACAATATTTTTGAAATAATATACCTAAAAGGTTTATATTTGCTAATGCTCATACAGTGTATAACAGAGAGATGAAATACTCATTCTTAAAAGAAATCCCAATGAAAAAATACAATGAATTTCATAGCAAGATAAATCTCAAAACGACTTCCGTCCAGAAAGACTGATATATATTTTAATGATATTCTGAAGATAAATATCACACTGGGTCTAATGTCAATGTTTTTTGTGAAACTAATTTTGTTGGGGATGGGAGGGGGAAATTCATTTTGTTTGAAAAGAAACATTGGTTATTTATTGTGATATAGTTAGACTTAAGTTGTCTATTGTTAAAATAAAGTCTAAGAACAGTGGTATTTGACTATTTGTGAGCCTTTGTTGGCAGATTAACAGCCAAAAATATTAACACAACTCAAAAGAATATGTCTTTTGAGTATTTTTAATATCAGTAATAATTTACCACATTGAAGAAGGTATTTTAAGATAAATTAAATATGTATTTGAAAGATAGAAAAATGTTCATTCATACAACGTAAAATCACACTATGAATAGGAAATGATCTTCAAAAGGGTGTATAGCACAATCAGACAAAATACACCAGGAAACTTAAAGCCCTCAAATTTGCTATTTTTTTATTTCATGATTGTGTGATTGGGAAATATTCAGAATTACCAAATCCATTTTATTGTCTATAAGATCAATTTCAATGTACAGAACTGTTGTTACACATTTAGAAAATTTTAAAATTAGAAGAGAATTTAATTCAGATTGATTTTTGACATCGTTTGTATTGTACAATGAATAAAATTATATTGTTGTTTATTCATGTAAATAAACTGAACAGTGAACATTAACATATCAGTGAGCCATATGTGGCACACACCTGTTAGTTCGTTATATAACCTATAATATTGTATAAAAATGTAAATAAATATTAAGATGTGAATATTATGACAAAGCTAATTACATAATGTGTCTTGTTTGTTCGTATGTTACCAATACCAGTGACTACAAGTGGTGACATATTGTTATAGTCTCCAACTTTTTTGTGGATGGTGTACGGAGAACAAGTGAACTAACCTATTTCCTAATCTTAGAATATATAATCCAATACAACATTTGTGTTTGGTAAACAATATTTGAAATATTTTTATTGAGTGATAACAGATATAACATACTGTAATACAAGACAACATTTAATTTAATTCATTTAATTTTAGCCCTCTGGGAATTATCACCTGATTAACTCTGTAAGTACAGTGTAATCCTTATTTCCTTATATTGTCTAGATCACTGTCTCCCTGAATTAACCATTACTAGTTCATTACCACTGATTACTTCGTCTCTTAGTTAATCATACATGCATGTTTTCTACATGGAAAGGGATTTGTACTGTTCAGTAGCTTGTATTTTGAACAAATGCTCAGGTTTGTCCAAGTATGTTTCAATATTTCAACTCCAAAGAAATTATGTAAAATTTCATTCAAATTCTGCACATTTTTCAAAAAAACTGGTCACTCTGGGGCTATTCTTCTCCGGAACGGAATTCCAAAATGTGTGATTAATATGAGGTCATACATACGGAGGGTCTTAGGGAAGAGGAAACTACATGAAGTCTATTCAGAGATAACCTCATGCAGGATACAGAGATTATTTCCAGGTTTTTCATGAGGGCAGATACATTGGCCATGGGATAATACCAATATCAGGAACCCGCCATAGGATAATCTGTTTATCCTTTACTTCCATCTCTTATTTTTACAATAATTTCTATGAGTGGTCCATTTTCTGACAATCAGTAAATTTATTCAAAAAAGATGTAGATTTTATTTCACCAAAAAAAAAAAAATTCCCCATTGTTGGCAGATAAGTTCTACAGGGACATAAGCCATATCTCCCAGCTATTGAAAATAGAATAATTTACTTCCATTGTTTTACTTACACATCTAATTCATCCAAATATGGGGTTAATTTGATTCTCTTCCTTATAAAGTGTTATTCTCTACAAGGTTATCTTGACTACCTAATATTAACCCAAGAGCTTTCATTGGATGTATTATGGTGATCTTATGTTACGTTATGTTATGTACGCCTGATTTGTTGATTCCATTACAAGCTCACAGACTTAATTTTCTCAATTCTACATCACAACCTTAATTTTATTAACACAGACAGGCAGGCTACTGTAAAAGGCAGATATATTTTCATAGACTCATGTTTTACTCAGACAAGTGTCTCCATGGCAATCAGTGTCTCCATGGCAATCACATTCTTCATGCATAGTTTATATTGGTCACAATCTGAATTTCTTCATTATCACTGCCAATGGAAGTTGTCTCTCCATATTCTGATGTTTTGCTCAAACATGAATCTCCTTGACAATTGATACATGCTTTCATCCTTTCAATCACAATCTTAATTTTTTTCAGTCATACCAGAGACGAGCAATTCTTGTCTCTCCGATTATGGATGCTCGCCTCATGCTGGTATGACAAAGTCTCTCCTCAGCATGTGCTTGATCTCGTGTGGTAAACACATCATTTAGTGATTGATATCACAGCCATTATTTCACTATTCTCTTAAATCAACTGAGAGAAATCTAGCCTCTACTAGTCCATGTGTTGATGTTCGGCCCACGCTAACATAACATTTTGTCGTAACCTCTGCCCGATATGTGATCTGACAGTTACCCATGAAGTGAATGCTATAAGAAACAGCCAGGCCACCCAAAGTAAATAGTCCTTTTCTTCAGTTGGTATGCTCAATAGAGGACCAATGTAATCTTCTGCGGTTACATTCACGGATTTATCAGGCTCAAAACCTAGAACATAAAATATAAGAATCTCGTAAGCTGTAAAATAATCGAGTTGTCAAGGCAACAAGCCATTAATCAATTTAAATAAATTTGGACATTTCTTCATCTTAAATCTCTAATAACTTCTATATTTGATCATATATCTCAATTCTTTTCTTAAAAAATAAGCTTAGGGAAACATTTGCATGACTTTTGATTGGATCCAGCATTTCACACCTTCTAACCCTTTTAATATCTTTAAGGGCATTCAATCAAACACAAAGGGAATTGATGTTGGGATGAACAGGAAAGGACTTGGAAAGGACTTAAGATCAATGTTACCAAGGCAACAGACCAACAGACAAATTAATTAACAAAACAATTTATCAGTACTCCAGCCATTTCCCAATTCACAGCGAAACAATATTTCAATACTCAAGCCATTTCCCAATTCACTAGCAAAACAAAACATCAGTACTGGTGGGACTTATATCACGTCTAGGTCCCACAGAAACCATAGATTACAACACATGAGAAAGCAGGAAGTGACCACGATGGGTTATGCTTCCTAGATACAAAAACAAAAAACGGGGATTCCTTTGTGTATTTCATTATTGATTCTTTGGAAAATAAACATTCATAGATGCTGCAAGAGAAACTAGGGAATTTCAAATTGGTGCTGCATGTCTATTTTATCTAAGCAGAGTGATGAATAATACAATTGATTATTTTCAATGTTGTGTATATAGCAATTAAGTCTTTGTAGTCTGATGCCGCAGTAAGCCATTGCAGCAATAATGTCAAAAGTACATGTGTAACTGACAAACAACAACTGCAATTCCAGTGAAACATTTAGTTCATTAATTCACTTGGAAAAACAGTTTATTAATGTTAAACACAAATATCTGTGTCAGATGCTAAAAACCCACATTCAACCTTACACTGTGGAATTCACTAGAAAGTTCACAAACATGTCCAATGCAAAGTAAATGGTTGCTTACTTGTGGAATTCACTACAAAGTTCACAAACACATCCAATGCAAAGTAAATGGTTGCTTACGTGTAGAATTCACTAGAAAGTTTTCAAACACGTCCCATGCAAAGTAAATGGTTGCTTACCTGTGGAATTCACTACAAAGTTCACAAACACGTCCAATGCAAAGTAAATGGTTGCTTACCTGTGGAATTCACTACAAAGTTCACAAACACGTCCAATGCAAAGTAAATGGTTGCTTACGTGTAGAATTCACTAGAAAGTTTTCAAACACGTCCAATGCAAAGTAAATGGTTGCTTACGTGTAGAATTCACTAGAAAGTTTTCAAACACGTCCAATGCAAAGTAAATGGTTGCTTACCTGTGGAATTCACTAGAAAGTTTACAAACTTGTCCAATGTACGACTGGTATGATTGAATTTGGCTACTGCTTTTGTGTTGTGAAACAGCAAAATATTTGGAACAGCTATTGTACCAAACCTTGCATTGAGACTGAAATATACAAAACACACATTAAGGTAAGCAAGGAAGGATGAACACATGTAATTTTGTGTATGTAGACAGTTCCTAAGTACAATAATCCTACTCTGACTGTACCCACCTTAAATAAGTGGAATACAATGACCTCACACTAGATAGTGAATAGAAACTATACATGGTTAACACCAAAGTGTTAACTCATCCTACGTATCACAGGGTTACAGAATCATACACAAAGTTCCTTCCTTCTTGTGTATGATTCTGTAACCCTGCGATACGGAGGACGAGTTAACACTTTGTGCAACATTTGTTAAATTGAGGTAAACATGATTCAACAAATGTTTACCCTTTTAATGCCCTTTAATAATAGATAACACATACAACACGTCTGTTCTATCAACTGCAATGCATGATATGAATCCTGAAGCAGTTTTCAAAGTTTTTAAGTTTGAATTTATAAACATCAAGGTCTTATCTAATTCTATGTAACTTTAACTATTGCTAATACCAAATCAAACACCCGTTTTTAAAAAATATGATGGGTCTCAATCGCTTATCAAAAGTTGATAAATTTTTTTCTGGTTTCCTCTCACAATTATCAACCGTACCAGGATGGTATCCATCTAAGATCATCTTGATAGGTTCAATGTACAAACTTGTTAGAATGCCACCCGTTCTAATTCCTCAAGTAGGCTCTTAATTATATTACAAATAACTATGGTACCAAGCACTATTTGCCACAATCATTAGGAATTCATAACAATCATGTTTTAGTTGACACAAGTTCACTTTTGATGATATGTTATATAGGGCATCAAATAAGCCTGTTCTCCGCCTTGATATTTTTAAGTTATACTTTCCATTATATCATTTTAAAGCTTATGGAAAATACTGATCACCCTCAAAAATCAATAATGAACTCTTCCTAATAAAATTGCTACAATATTTCCTGCAAGGTTGTAGTTGACTTTTTTTGCAAGGGATGTAAATACCTGTCTGCTTAATTAACAAAAAATTATGAAATTGATCTAATAAATCAATTTTGGAGAAGAAAAATCCTTAATTATTAATAATAGCATTTGTTACATAGACACAAAACAAAAAATTGTTCCAAAAATATAACTGGTCAAATCACAATTTTGAAACTCATACTATATCTCAAATAGGTTTCTGACTTTCATGTTTAGGAGGGAGAGGATCTTGGTTGATAGTCTGTCCCTCTTTTTTCTAGATACTCTACATATTTTGAATTGTCTAGAGTTTCAATAACTCACCTGCTAAAGTGCATTGAATCTATGGCAAGGACATCCAACTGTGGAAAAGCTCTGGCAACTGCATTAAATTCTGGAGCTGCTTTTGCACAAAATGGACACCACGGAGCAAAGAACAAAACAACGGCACAATTTCCAGCACTTCCATTTCGCTCAGTTAATATCTCCAAAAGTTCTGTACTATTCACAATCTTCACTATGGGTGTAGTTTCTAACTCAGTATCATTTTTAGTTAGGTTCTTAGGGGTACAGACATACTTTCTTTTGTCCACAGTTGTAGCATTTACAATTGTATCATTCATTGTGACATTATTTATCCCCTGTCCGGTCAATATTCTCATATTTTCCTTGAGTTGTTCTTGGCTTTCTTTCACATCTTCTATTTCTCCAATTACATTTGTGATCATATCACCAATGTTAAATAAAGATGTTTCTGGGTAAAACTCCTTAGATTCTTCAGTATGGCCATCTTCTTCGACAGTATCTTTGTCTCCATTGTCTTCTGCCTCTTTCACATCAGAGTCCTTATTATTTTCACCAATACTAGAACTAGCAACATTTATATCAAGAGATGTCTTTTCATTAGAATTGTGTGCTTCTTCACTTATAGGTACTTCTTCATTTGATTCTGCTTTTGTAACTGGTTCAATGTTTGCCTGCTCATTGAATTGATTTTCTTCGATTGGAAATTCATCCTCAACACTCCCAAGTACATGTATACCACCTTGCAATACTGAAAATAGAATACATTGACATACACTGCAGGCCAGTAGCTAGCTTTTGGCAAGGGGGGTTCATGTTTCAGAAAAATTCCAGGGGGGGGGCAAAATCAAATGAAAAATGCTCAGAATAGTGAAATACTGCATGATTTTGAATAAGATTTTTGCCAGGGAGAGAGGGGGGGGGGGTTGCCCGAACACCACCCTGACCATGGGCCTGCACCATAGAAAAAATATTTCACACACTTAAGCTTACTTTATACCAAAGATACAATATATCAAAGTATGTGAGTACCGTGGTAATTTAAGATCAGGAGCAATTTCTGGTCATTCTGAGGGCAATAGGAGAAATTTAGGTTTCCGTATTGCACATTTATAGCAGTTGTAATCATGACAAAGTTTAGGTGCATTAATGCGCCTCTGGACCTTTATTTATATATCTGAGATTTGTCATGACCCCACAGGCGCATGACCGAGCATAGAAAAATGGTAAAGTTGAGCTTCTGAAAAACTACGGCTTTGTTGTTTTTGCTTTTTCTCGGAGCTCCTAACCATAATCTAAGAGATTCTTGCACCACTACGTTGCGACACTGCTTGGCTTCAAAACGGTACTTAATTTGCTGGGTTAAATCATAATTCCAACAAATTATTGTATTGATTTCTTGAATTTCTCGATCTTCAAATTTTGCAAATTATTCACTGAACGAACTATGCCAATTTGAGGAACTGCCTGGGTTATTTTCTTTTCCATGCTTTACAAGCCACACACTATCATCCCGAGAAAGTCTTGTACTTGTATGCTTTGAGAAGTGAGTCCATTTGAAAAAATATTTTAACAAATCGTGACCTTTCAGTCCAATTAGCGCAATTACATCGTGTTCAACAACTAATATCTGATAAGTTTAACAATTAATCATTTAAGATCTTATTCAAGTTATTGGGACAAACATATTTCAAATAATAACTGGAGATCAACTCCAAAGTAGCGCTGGGTTCAAAATTTTTCCTCAAGTTCATGAATTCTAATATGGGACGATCCCCACCCCTAATGAGACACTATTAAAACTCTGATAGTCAAAGTCATTAGGGGAGCCACACCTAGGCAGAGTTCAGTCCACATGTCTGTGACAGCAGGCCTGTCAACTTGGGAAAACCTAACATGAGTGACTTACAAATGTTGAACACTTTTCTTCAAAATCCGCATGAAAAGTACATTTCTACAGAAATATTTTGCAGGTAAAAAACTGGCGTGACTTCAAATTTTCCAGCAAATGTGTGACAAAAACACAAATTGCAGGACAGTTGGACAGCCTGGTGACAGATACTCACAAAGATATATAGAAAGGATTAGTGTAGTTGCTTAAAGGGAGGTCAGAGACCATGGTACTACCTTTATTGATCTAAAAATGGGTAATGGACAAATTGAACAAAAATGCTTATAAATTACCCCATACGTGCATACTTTGATACATTGTATGAACTCCATTTGAAAAAAGCTGGCCGGCGTGTCATAAATTAATTGAATATTTTGAAAATCGCGAGATAAATAAATCAATAATTATAATGGGACCGGCTCGGCTCCTTGATGAGATATTACATGATTTCATCTAAAATTAAAACAAATGGCTCCAAGTAAAATGGCAATATTCAAAAAATGGACGAAATGTCATAATGTCTGACATTAGTAACTGGTTGTAAATTCTAAGTTAGCGATCCAGAAGATGTGAACTAATACATTGATCACTCCATGTGTGCTTTGGAATTTTTGGTGAAAGACCAAAACTCGCAATTCAAATTGTAATGTGGAAAAATGGCAGACATTTGACTTCAAATTTATGATTACGACATGACCCATTATACATGGCCTTAGAAGAAGGTAATGCTGAATGATAGGAGTAGCAATGCTACTGGAATGAGTTTAGATGGGGTGTAAACATATGAAACACCCTGATTATAAGTATAAAGATATTTGATGAAAGTAAGCGCTTAAGCAAGCACATTCAGCTATGTACTTTTTGCATTGCACTTATCAATCAAAAAAGCAGACAATGAATAGATCTAGATCTAAGGCTAGGCCTAGCTAATCTTTGATCGATGAACGAAAAATTAGACTAGAGTCCATTTCACTGCTTCAGTTCGTCAGTAGAACGGCAAAAATAAGAAATTCGGAGACTATTGTGCAATAATATATGGAAAAGTATATTCATAATGTACATGAATGACATTTGTATATTTCAGATTTTTTAGTTTTTTGTGCAATAAGCCTGTGCCGTCTTGTAATTTGAAGAATTTCAGCCATGTTAATCTTATTGGAAATAACATGGCAGAGAAACATCCAAATATAAGAGGCCACACACTTTATAAGCCAAACTAGAAGCAATCCAAGATATACAAATGTCATTCATGTACATTATGAATATACTTTTCCATATATTATTGCACAATGGTCTCCCAATTTCTTATTTTTGCCGTTCTACTGACGAACTGAAGCAGTGAAATGGACTCTAGTCTATTGAAAAAATCAAAATGGACTGCACTTGATTCAATAATAGGTCTATCATCCATTTATATCATAACTTATCAAGGTGTATGAGTAGTAATGCCATATACGTATCATGAAGATACAACTTACCCATCAAAAGCATATAAAATACGAACATTCGATACATTTTGCAAATCTTAACAATATTTTTTCACTTCCGCTTTTACCGGAAATACGACATTTCATTAATTTGATTGGCGCGAATCGTGAAGCAGTTTGAATAAGCCAATCAAAATCCTCGAATATCGCCTTATATTCACCCCGTAAACATCTACATGCTTTTGACAAGGGCGATCTTGAACCGGTGACTTTACTGCAACAGAAATCATGAGAATGTACAACAGCTCGGAACTCACCTACTCTGTAATTTTCCCATTCGAGAAATCATGGGACGAACGCATATTCCATCAATGGATGAAGGATAATTGGACCATCTGCTTATATTCTAGCGTCGCTTACGTCGTCGTTGTGTTTGGGGGAAGATGGTACATGGAAGATCGTCCAAAATACAACCTCAGGTTTCCTCTTGCATTATGGAGTAGCATCTTAGCTATATTCAGTATCCTTGGAGCTGTTCGAACATGGCCGGAGCTCCTTTACAGCACTAAAATCGGCTTCGCACACTCCATTTGCACCTCCCACTTTTTCGAACATCCTGTCTCCGCATTTTGGTCGATGATGTTCACAGTATCGAAAGTGTATGAACTTGGCGACACATTATTTATTGTATTGCGTAAGCAACAACTTATTTTTCTGCATTGGTATCATCATATCACTGTGATGCTGTACGTATGGATCAGTTATGTGGAACATATTCCATCTGGCCGCTGGTTCATGACCATTAACTACACTGTTCACGCCTTGATGTATACCTACTACGCGCTGAGAGCATTGCGTTTTAATATACCAAGACAGATAAATATGGTGATCACGGCTCTACAACTTGCTCAGATGGTCGTAGGATGTTACATCAATGTCCGAGTTTATCAGATTAAAAACGAAGGAATTCAATGTGAGCAATCTTATGAAAATATTAAATATTGTCTACTTATGTATTCCAGTTATTTTGTACTTTTCGCACACTTTTTCTATACTACATACATGGTTGAAAAACCAATTAAAGATGCCATTCAGAAAGGACATATAAAACAAAATGGCGATGCTGTGCACAATGGAAAAGTATCAAAATCAAATGGGTACAAAAAGGACTAAATAGTATGCAGTTAAACTCAATCTTACTCAGACTGCCAGTGGAAATAACAGACCTTTGTCTTATTATATTACGAAAAAAAAATTGCCAATGATGTACTTTCAACATGTATTTCATTCCATGAACATACATGCATTCATTAGTTTGCCAGTACCAAATCATTTATACTTTCTGGAACATTAACAAGGATGAAAGACACATAAGACTGATACGATTTATTCTGTATTGCAAATGATGTTCTGATCTCGATTGGCTATTTATTCTGACTATAACACGTACATTGAACTTTTGGGAGTAGCAAGTAGCGGAAATATTCGATAATTCGTCATCAACGAGGACACATGAACTTATTGTGTGGTATTCGGAGTATAATCAGTAGATTTATAATTGGAGATAAGAGCACCGGGGATGCAGTGATATCACACGCAAGTACAGATTATAAAGACTGAAGGTCAAGAGCATATACATCAAATATGGATATACCTGTATATATGCTGCAGATAATGACGTCTGAACAATGCATCTTCGTATTTGCCTTTGGATGGTGAAGGTCATTACAAACATTTTTGTACTTTACATGGATTCACATTAACATTGAAAATCTTCAATTTGAGAGTTGTATGCTTGAATATTAATCCATTCCTTAGGCTCATGACAAACATGATTTTACCCTTGAAAACTATCATAGGCGGCCAATCATGTGTATGTCTCACACAAATAATCAATGTTTGCTCATACGATAAACCAATGGATTACATAAGAAACAAACATAATCGATTTAACGGTGTATCTACCTCTTTGTTAATCAACCAATCAAATTATTGGAATTTTCATGTTATCTCCAGACAGATAATTCTAACGGTCAATGCCACGGAAATTTTCTAAATTTGTATCTTGAAATTTTGCTATTTCTGGTGCTTTGATAATGTAATTGCATCTTTTTCACCAATTTTACTATTCCTGCATCAGAAATGATCAGATAAGAGCATTTGTTAAACATCAATATTTTACATGATTTGCCAAATTTTCTACTTAAATCAGTGTAATATTAAAACTAGTTTGTTGCTCGGCCTCGTCACTTTATGCTGGGGAATATTGTTGCGTTGTGATTGGGTATTTTGAATTGAGATGTACGACTCATACAGTCATACTCATATATCACAATGCATTATTGTGATCTCCCCAAGTTTTTTTCTCAACAAGAAGCCAAATCTTAATCTCGCCTACTTTTGCCAAAATACAGTAAAATCTGTCTTGAGTGTTCTACTTGGGAGGTGTTCTCCTTATAGAGGTTCATTTAACATAAAGTCAGTTGATCTTAGGATTCTGAAAAGTGATCCACTAAAAGAGGTGTTTCACTTCTAGAGGTGTTCCATTTTGCAGGTTTCACTGTGTCTCAATATTTTGATGCAACATTTTGGTGCAAACCAATGTTCAACAGGGTCGTAGTATTACATTTACAACAGTGAGCTGCACTTGATTGCTGATTGCTCAAGATGCGTTGAATATCACTGCATTATTCATTTTTAGGCTATTTAATGATTTTAGTACATAGTTACTTCCTCATATTTTTCTCGTACTGCACAAGAAATAAATAATTGATTAATGAACTAGAGCGCAAAGCAACTCTGTCTATTATTAGAACATATAGAACTGCTATAAGCTCTAGAAAAATCACGTATGTACTAATTTGATTTTCTTTTGCCTTTTACCCAAAACTACTTTTTCCACCACAAATTGAGTTGAACATATGATACACAATGGTTATTATTACTTTTAATGAAGACAAACTGTTACACATTGTAATACATATGTTGTTATTAGATGAAATCAATGTTAGTGCACTTCTGTTATTACATAAGAAGTGAATTAATGGTTTTTAATTTAGTATTTACAAAGTGAAAGAACCTGATTTCCACGAAAACAAAATACATAGTGGTAGTAACTACGTACCGGCCCAGAGCCAGGATTTGCCAGGGGGCGTGTCACTTTTTGAAAAATTTCAGGGGTATTTACTTTTGACAATTTTCAGAATGGTGAAAAACTGCATGATTTTGAAAGCATTTTTGGCCAGGGGGGGGGGCTTTTCCTGACTACAGGCCTAAGTTATCATTTTCAGTTTAAAAACCATCATGATATCATGTTCCTACTTACTTTGTAAGCCCTGAGACAGACCACTGATTTCATTTTGGTCATTTATCGTTCACTTGTTATTTTGTGTATCTCATTTTTCATAAAATATGTCATTATTTAGTCATGCATATGTATGAATTATCTCAAGTCTAGATGCACATTTTTCATTAGATAGATAATAAAAATGTACATGGTGTATTTTTTGCAAGGGCTCTGGTGATTCAGTATATATGTACTACTTGTACTGCATGTACTGGAGATATTTCTACGATTGTGGCTAATTATAATTATCTCAGAACAAATCAGCCTCAATATTTCTATACTTTGTTCATTGTAATCAATATCCCATTGAACTATGTGTTACCCTTACAAAAATCTTTATAATATGATTTTCTTTTTTTTATTGTGTTAGGAAATATATCTACTGTCATTATTAAGTCATGTTATTGTATGGTGGTCAGTAAAATTGTTAACACGTAGAGAATAGTCTCAATAATAAACAACGACAAACCTTATTTTCGAACATTTTATCCTCATACCAGATTAACATGTGAACAGTGTTTTTTCTAGTATTGTAGTAATTTATGTTTGTACTTAAATATAAGTATGGAATAATGATATAATTGTTTGAACTTCCATAGATAATCTGAAGTCTTCATTTTTTCTGGTCGCAGCTCAATAAACAGAAATTATCAAATAACTCTAAAATTTTTACATGATCTAAGACATGACTTGACGAAGACCCCCCCCCCCATCATAAAAAGTGCTTAAACTACAAGAAGAAACACAATATCCTATATTCATTGATATTCTAGTCATTCAGTCATTGTGAGAAGTCATGATTCATGACCATATGAATGTATTGACCCAATGCCAAATCTGCTGTGGCTATACGACTCCAGGACTCGACATTGTGGCATAATAATTATTGCTCATTCAGCTGCATCTGGCAAACTGAAAACAGTATTAAATTGTACATTTTATGCAGGCTTAAGTTATATATATATATATAAATCATGATTCCAAGTACAGCATGGTAATCAAATCATACCCCATCTCAAATTATTCATTCATATTTTATTGATTCTTTCTGACATAAGTGTTTCATGTAGCAAGTTGATGCCTTCTCTGGGTGTCAAACAGCCGAGTACGTTAGCACTATTAAGCAGATGTATGTACCATTTAACCCTTTGCAATCGTTGGATTTTGTTCCTTAAAAGAGAGCTTCATCTGTATTTTCTTACTAGACTGCAGTCTGCACACAGGGTACACTATTCAAAGGTTTGTCTTAGCCTACACCCCCTTCCCCTTTAGCCCACACACTCAGAAAAAGGTTGGAATCTGACATACAGTATTGTCCCAAGGGGTGGGGTTTTCATATCACTGGGAGCAGGGAGTTTTAAAATGAATGTAAAATACTCTTATATTCCCTGCAGCAAGAATGCAGTCATCCCAATTTGACCAGCTATTATTGCTCCCAGTGGAGGGAAATTGACTCATACAAGAATTTGATGGGCCAATTTTTAGTTTTAGTTTGTAGCAAGCAAGCCTTTGAATGGTGCATAACTCTCTAAAGCAAAATCAAAGAATTGGAAAGGTCCTTGATTGTTGATATAGGCCCTCATATTTTAAGAAAAAAATTCTAGCACAAAATATTGAGTGAATATTGAGTTTTTTCATTGTCTTACTTTCTCTATTCTAATAGGGTGTTATTCCAGGTTGTTAATTTGTCAGAAAAACATATTGGTAATGGGTGAACCTGGGGGGGGGGTGAACTGTAAATTTGCCTCAAAATCTGTTTATCCCCTGCTGTGTTGAGGGGATGTTAATATTTAACCATGTTTATTTGTCAAAGCTTTTGGAGGCCAAACTACAACATATGTACCTTCACAATGTAAAAATTTAAACTTTATCATTTTTTCAATTCAAGTTCAAATATCATTTGGCATGTTTGGCAAAGCGTATCTGTTTCTGTTGTTGCAATATAAACTTTAATGCCTCCAAAACATATCTTTTCCCTTTTCTGATCTTTTCCATGTCATATTCATTCCTGTGCTTTTTATCCAAATTTCCTGTCAATCAAAATCAAATTAAAAAGGAGATTGACCTAAGCGTGCCTGAAACTTTTATAGATTTCAGCCCATTTTCAAGATACTAACATTTGGGAGATCATAATTAGTGAGACCCTGCGCATTAAAGGAACATTTATGCAACTGAAAGTAAAACTGAAAATTGAATGGTTTCATGTTATGTTATGGCATTAAGTGCATCTTCCGACTTCCAAGGTGGTTAGAATACAATAACGCAGATGCGAGTAGGTAGTTACCAGATTCACCACCAGATGGCTCGTTCGGGTCAGATAGCATGGCGGGTATAGTAGAAAGTTCCCTTTAACTTAAATTACATCTATTTGCGTGGTTCAATTTTCATATTATTACCCTTATGTATGTGATAGTTGTACAAATTAAAATATGCCCAGTAAAAGAAAATATTATCTGCCCAACACAAGAAAAGATATTTCACTTTTTGTGGTTTTACAACATGGGGTCTATGGGGAATCTCCCCAACCTAGAAGTCACATTTTCAAAGAAAATTAAATTTTCAAAGTTGATAAACTCTTTTCAAAACCACATTTCTAGATGTAATTTTACATGTAGATTCCAAATATGACATCAGTTTGACTGAATTGTGAATTTTTAATGATGTAAATCATGATTATTTCTACTCGCATCTGGGATATTAAGTTGGAAGTAACTGAAACCTTATGAATTAAGATGCTTGTACATTACACAAGGAAGGTCTGGATTTGTAAATTTAACATCCCTTATATTCAATGATTTATTCTGTACCTTTCATGCTATAGCCAGTTACATACACTGCAAACTGTTGCATTTTGTGATGTCATCCTGCCTTTGGCTATAGACCTGATGTACATCTATTAATTTCTGGCAATTTAGAAATTATCATCAGTCATGAATTCCTAATGTAAATACCAATGGATTGCCAAACTTTTGAAGGGGAGTGTAGAACTGTTGATTACTACATATGTTTTTTTCTTCAATCATCATTCATTCTTGTTGATGAGAGTTCCAAAGTTAAACAAGGTATGACATGACATGCAAAATGTCACCACCTGTGATTTGTTACTGACACCGAATGCTGAACACCATGCACAAAAAAGTTGGAGATATCAATATGGATTGAATTACTTTTCATATTTCTGATTGAAGCAACTCACATATATAAGCTAAGAACATGACTAGAAATGGAAGTGCCTTCAATTTCAGTTTTATGGCTCATGAAATTTAAATAAGTAGTCCCATGTAACAAAACTCACAAGGAATAAGGTAAAAAGTAATTTATTTATTTTTGTGATTCAGGTCATTGCCTCACCATGCAAAAGGCAGGTGAGGCAATTGTCTCACTAATAAGAAATATATTTATCCACTTGTCTGCAAAGGAAACTATAATGATATCCAATGGTAGGCTTATTGTTTTATCCCATTCAGGCTTTCAATTTTTTCAATAAATGAAGTTTGCAGACTATTTTAGTCCCATGTTGATTTGTTGATTTTGGTCACTTGGAGAAAGTTTCTATGACACTAAAATATTTACATATTTATCTTGATGATAATTACTGATTATGACTGAAGCTTAGTCACATGTCTCATACAACATCATAAATGAGACACCTCTCAGGATAATGGCCTAGCTGTTTGCACCATAACTCATTTGAGAAAGTTCAAGGTGTAACTTAAAATTCTAGAAAAATAAGAGAAAAGTTGAGGGTAACTTTCTAAAAACTTATCACACTTTTTTTTCTCGCAGACTTTTAATACATAATTTTTATAAGTCCAACAATTCTGACTCTTATCTCTGCCTTGTTTTGGGGAATACGGCTTTTATTGTCACAATATAAAGAATCACCATGTGAATCTGCTAAATGGTGCAATTTTTAAAGATTTTTTCTGGAAGAGAACAAAACTTGTTTTAAAACATTGAAAAAAGACCATTGAGTAGAATACAATTACAAAATATTTACCCTTATGTATATTTCATTATTCACATTATTATGGTGGTTATTATCGAGTTATCATTCACTTGGAAACAAACAACATAACAGAGTTAGAGCTATCTGGGCATCTTGGTCATGCATATGATTCATGAATTGCCATGACTTTTCATCATGTAAATGTAAAGTTAATGACATTGCAAAGTCTAATAGCCCCTGTATGACACATAAGGCAACATAGATTGATAAATAATACATAGTATTTCCAATGTATGTGTTTATTTATCCATGTTGTCCTGATTGTTTTTCAAAGATTTCAAGTGGAAATGAATTTCAGACTAATAATTATGTGATAATTATGCATTATATCTGAATATTATGAAAAATGTATGATTAATATTTGTTTTATGATGGTGTTATCTCATTTGATCGAAAAAATACATGGATTTATTAATAATTTTTTTAAATAATTAAGTACTGCGAAATGTCTATATTTTTTGGGGGAAAGAGCTTAGAAAAATGGCTTTTGTTGAAACCAGTTTGTTGTTTTATTGATTATGAAATAAATTGGAATGATCATATTATTTGCTTGTATAATTTGCTATCATATCATATACATGTACACTCCCCTCGATAAGTTAAGGTTGCCAAATTAATGGAGGGGATTGTACATTTATAAATATGCACGGTGTCCACAAAGTCTCTTTACAATTACAATAAAAAGTGTAAAGTGTAAAGATATTTTATTTACACCCTGTATATGTATTGTTGGCTACTAATGTAGTAGTTGTAAATCAGAATCAAGGATAGTTTAATATTTTAGTCATAATCCTGAGGAGTCTCGGCTTATTTTATAGATGTACACCCTGGAATCCCAGCCTCTGTGCATCTTATAGTGTTTTATGTGCCAGATTGAGCTAAAATAATTATGTATTCTACAATTGTGGACAATGCTTCAATATAAGTGTCTATTGATTATAAGTGTCAGTCTTATCCATATGATATCTACCCGAGCAAAGTATTAATTAGAAACAATAATTTCTGAGGATATTGTTTCCAGTATGCAAATAGGCCTATACAATACATGCAAAATGTTATTGGAACCATTCCTTAATTTACTAAAGAATAATAAAATTTGACAAAACTGTAACCTTCTCTATGACATGCATACAATACACTCTCGAAACTTTTCTTATTTAATCATAATCAAGTATCATTGCAAAAGAAAAATGCTTTTATTTTTATTTTGTCAGACATTGAATTTTTGTACTTTTTTAAAATCATACATTTCTGCATGCTTTTCATGCCTTGTATACCTGTACAGTAACACAGGTCCATAATATAGGCTTTGTATAAAAACCTCCTACCTCATACCCACCTACCCACATACGTATGACATGATACAGTCTTTGAAGGGTTCAATTTTAAAGATCTTAGTTTAATAAATCTTAGTTTATGATGAATTATAGATGCATTTGTAACGACCCTTGATAGCAAGTTGCAACTACATCCCAGCTGGGTTCGATTCCCACTTGGGGCATCGAATTTAGCACACACTTTCTTTCAATTTCTTTATCTGGCTTGTTGGACCTATGCTCGCGGTCGCTAGTTATTTATTCCCCTGGGGCGCCCTCGGGTCATTACACATTAAAATGCATCCATATGCCTTTATTTATGGATCTGTCATCTGTCTAGTCATAAAATAAAGCCGGAATTGTAGAAATATTAATAATTTGAGCTATTTTAAGATTTAATAATCTTTAAAATTGAACCCTTCAATGACTGTATCATGTTCCACGTAGGTGGGGAGATGGGTATGAGGTTTTTTATACAAAGCCCATAATATATTAAAGATCAAAAGATATTGTACCCAATTGTATCATTAATGATTATTGCACTTTTTGAAATTTGATCAATTGCAGAACATGCCACATTACTCAAAGTCCGATTTCTAGGGTACACTCAATGCAATTGAAGTGCAGGGGTGACTTTTTGACTTTTTGATACTCCCAAAGCACTTTAAGTATTGCACATGCACCATCTGTAAAAGTACATGCAACCTCATTTGTTTTAACTTATGTTTTACCATTTGTGGATATTTTAAATCATTTGTCACAATGAACCACTTTTAAATGGAGACTCTTCGTGAAAAATTTCAAATCATCCAATACTATCTTGTTTTGTACTGGTTTATCTCAACTTTTGACCCTGGTACGTGGTCTTGAGACATTTCACCTCATGCATATATTTATGTGGTAAACAATGTCATAAGATGTATGCTTTGTGGTGCTACAAGAATAAAGGAATGAGTCAATTGTTTAGAGAAATTGGGAAAACTTCCAAATCTCAAAAAACAATTTGAGAATAAACATTTTGGCACTCTGCTATATTTTTTCCCAATGCATTTTTTATCAATATATACCTGGAGCAGGGATAATTCAAGTCAGTTTTCACACACGATGGGCCTTTTATGTTGCGTAATATGATCAATTGGGTCAGCCAATCACCATAAAGGTTTAAGCATAGTTTACAGGTTATAAATGTTGTAATAGATACACAGCGATTATAAGTGATTGTTCTCATGGCAAAGTTCTAATGTAATCAGTACATAAAGTTCACTGGCTCAAGGTCCACCCTTATCACCAACATTAGTAAGATTAATACACCTACTGTAACCCCATTACACATTTTGCCTTTCAAGCAACTTTTTTTCATGACTTTAAAAATTAGCGAAATATTAAAGTGCTAATTTGTTTTCCTTTAGATACGTAATTATCAATAATCATTACGTTTCTGATAAAATCATGAAATTCAATGGTGTGGATTATTGAATTTTGAAAAATCTGCACATTTTATAAGATAATTTTAAAAGTGATTTACAGTTTGGACTTAACTTGTACTTGATTACCTTATAGCTTTCATGACTTCTCCCGAGCAAACATGAACATTCGAAATCTTTAAAAACTTTTTAAAAAGGTGCTATAAAGAAAAAAAGAAGTTGAGAGTGACTCTTTAAAAATTGTTACAGTTTTACAATATTTCTTGCTCTTAGCTCCTTATTTGGGTACCTTTAAGTTACAGATCCTTTTTTATTTTTTTCTCTTGTGAAATTAAGATGTAATTAAGTAATTCATGCATATGTATCATTGTTGCATAACTGAACTGAACCTATGGTCTTAAAGGTGAGTCAGGTTACCCTTACATACCCAGTGCTATGAAGTACAGGAATGCCATGAAGTACAAATCAAAAAATTATATGTAAAAATACAAACACTTGAATGAGATGTAACCCATGACAGAAAATAGTGGTAAAAAGGCTTAATTATAATTCTCATCTTATATCGTGTGGTGTCAAATATCCATCCTTTATGTACTGCAATGAATATAATATTTATTTAAATTCATCATCGGAGAATTAACGTCTAGCCGTAGCTGTTAAGATTCCCAAATGAGTCTGTTCGTGCTAATAAATTTGTATACATACATTATTCTTCCATGTTACATATTCATTGAAGTCACTAATCAATATAACATGAAGAATTAGTCACACTTCACATTTTTTCTAAATGATAGATTAACTTAAAATTTTATTATATAATGTACATGTATATACACCAACTTAGAGAAGCACCGAAGCCCTTGTGTAATTTTAACCACCCCAACGCCCGCCCTGGTCCCAACACAATTTAGGGAATAAAACAGCTGGGGGGAGGGGTGGCACAAATAATTAAATGACATCACTGTTGAGAGTTGCATGTGGATCCAATTCATTAGAAGCAACAACATTAAGGGGGTGAAATTAAAAATTGATGCCCATGATATTTGTCACGCAAGAGTTTTTACTATGACTGGGGTTCTCTCTGCGAGAATATCACTGAATAAATAAGTACGTTGCAATTAATTGAATAGTATTTTCTAATTAGGAGAGTTGAGTAAATGATTGTTTGTCATGAAAATTGATATTTTTTAGAGACAGAAATATGTCATTGAAAAGTAAAGAAATAAATACAGTACTAGACTAAATGTAGGATGTAAGAGATTAAAAACAAGGCATTAACATGTAAAATGTCACCACCTGCCATTTGATACAGACACCAAGTACCAAAGTACCATCTGAAAAAAAAGTTCAAGACTAATAATATGTCACCACTCGTGGTGGTGACACTGTATGTACATTTACTATTATATATTTGGATTTTCTGTGTAATGTCCAAGGTTACATAGTACTGGATGTCCATAAAGTGTCTTTACATTACAATACAATGTCTGTAAAGAGTAGACTTTATGGACACTCTGTATAGTATATAATGCAATTCATGAAGATATCAGGATATCATTTAGCTCAGAAAAATTGAACTAATGAAAAGTTAGAGGCAAGATCTAGTGACACCATGAGGGGGCTTCATAGTATTCTCCAAGAACTTTATTCAAGCTTTGGTGTGTCCACAAAAGGTTTGTGTCAAAGTCGCTCATCTGTGCAAGTTACAAATCGAATAAGTTATCCAGTTATTCTTTGATAGGTAAGCATTCAACTCTACAATATATAAAATGCAATTCATAAATTGTCTCAAAAAGCCTTAATTGTTCGGAGGAAAAGCTAATGGCTGGCCAGGGACTTAATAACCTTGGAAACACTTTACAATTGCAGATTTTAGTGTGCCTTTTGCATAAGAGTCCAGGTTGAATCTATCTAATATTGGCTTAAATAATTGATAAAAGGGATAAAAGTCACGACATCAAAGCGATTTTCAGATTTAAAGTGATAGCAAAGAAGAGTTTTAAATTGTAGGAAACAATCTACAAAAATATCAAATGTTACCTTAACAATCCTAATTTTATTTTTTTAGAAAGATTAAAACAGCTCATCAATAGTGTGATCAAATTCTCGTGCAAAAATTCAAATATGTCATCAAAAAAAACATTTTCATTACAATAATTTTAGTATTCATAAATAGCAATCATAATTTCTATCAAGGCATTAACATACAAAATGCCACCACCTGCCATTTGCTACAGACACTGACCACCGAACATAGAGTAAGGGACTATAAATATAATATGTCACCACTTGTAGTGTTGGTGACATAAAATTGAACATTTCCCAGTTCCACTTAACACTTGATTGGTGGATCAGACATGTTGTCACATCAAATGATGAGTTGGGGATGAATTTAAACTTGAATGCATTTGGCAAATTTGTTCTGCATTACCCAAATCTCTTTTGGATTTGTCTTGTTTTATTTTCTGAGCTCTGCAATTGTGTTAGGGTGCCCTCTATAATCCTATCTTGTCATTCGAATATTGCCATAAATAAGAACCCAGAGATTTAGATGACAATTGTCATTCAAGTATTCCCATATAATAGATGAGACATTGAGATATGGATTACCACTTTATATCCCAGGCAATTGTGGAAGGATTCTGATCAAGGACATTCATTCAAGAATTAGTTTGATGTGCCGCAACTTCATTCTAGTTTGTTCATAAACAGTCATCTGTATTGGCAGTGATTACAACCATTATAATTTTCCTTAACCGTCTCCTGCTGAGCCTATGATCTGCATCCCCATAAACCAAGACATCTCATTTAAGTGAACAGAAAGATGTGATGAGTATCAGAATGATGAGCTGTGACTTTCCCAGATGCTGCATATCTAAAGGACAATGTATATAATGACCACACTTACATATCAAGGTAGCAATAATCCCAAAATAAGACCCATGTTATTCCCATTTCGATATTCAGACCATCTTTTCCTTGCTAAGAATCTAGAAAGGTAATGACAGAAAATCTCAAGTAGTCTTGCTTCAAAATTGTGGACCCCCTCCCGTATCTACTTCTCCAACGCATTACACTAATGGAAAAGAAAAGAAGATAGCGGGGGGGGGGGGTCCAGGATCTTGGAGCAAGTCTATGTCAGGAGGCGTTGATCTCTCACTATGGACAAATCCCAAGAGATAAATGCATCTCAAATGTGTCATGAATAATCATTTTGCCATCCTCGAGGCTCAAATATACAGTGTCAAGAATGGCAACAGGCAAATGTGCCTTAGACTAATTAATCATTTTGCCATATGCCTTCACTTGACAACACTTTTGACCCACATTTATACAACATTTGAAACATAACTTACAGAAATTTTTCTCAGCTATATCAACTGATAAAACAAAACTTCATGACCTTCCTTGAAAACTGTTTATTTTTCTTCAGTATTACAATGACTTGGGCACTTCATTAGATGGAAGAAATCAACATATTATAAACAAATATGTTTTTGACTGGTAAATCAAATGATCATTGAAAGGAAAATGTTTATACATTTGATCATTTTAATATATATGTGCACATGGAACATAAAGTGTTTTAAGCATTATAAAGACTAAAGATATACTAGACCCATATAGTTTATGTCCAAATCAGGTACAAAAATAGACACAAACAAATATATCATTGGACGCAAATGAAGCCAAGGGATATCCTTACTTATCCTATGCCAAGTAGAGTTTTTGGGAGATAAGTTGGTAAGATATATCCTGTATCCTGATTTTGAGGTTTCCATATTCAGAACTTCAATATCTCCCGCTTCGTTGCATATCTTCCCGCTTCGGTGTATATCTTCCCGGTAAGTAGTGGAAATGCAATAAAATGACAATAAAATTTGTTTATTTTTACACCTTGTACTATTGAAATGGCCATATGCCCCTGAAAAACTCTACTTGGTATAGGATAAAGCAGTTATGTACAGTCAGTTTGGATATTGGGTTCATCCCTCGTGAGATATGCATATCTACCTCTGGATAAACCCCATATCCAAAACCTCCCAGTACATAACCCTTATTTATTATCATCAAATCCAATGCAAAATAATTTCTAATAAATACAGTAAAACCTGTATAGTTAAACACCTCTCGAACCTGAACACCTCCAAATATGAACACTTTTTTCAGTTATTTTTTTAATCTGCCATTGACTTCCATATTGGAAAACCTTGAAATATATGAACACATTCCAATCTGAACGCTTTTGGCTGGTTCTAGTGATGTTCAGATTAGACTGGTTTTACTATACATGATATTTAATACATTTGTAATCCTTTCCAAGATAGTATGTCATATGATATTGCTACTGACCATGACATATGAATAATACGATGTCTTGTAGAAATGTAAATGATTTATATGTCTGAAATGAGCAACTTAATTATATTTGTATGAAAAAGAAATTATTTCATAAAAGAACGATTACAGTAGATTCTAACTTTTTCAAACCTTCAATTCAATTCAATTTCACAAAATTTTATTTCAACTTATGCCTTTATTTGTTTATGTAGATTTCAAATATGAATTTGATATCAATTTGACTGGACTTTGAATACTTAGACATGGAAATCAATATTCTTTCTACTGGCATCTAGTCGATTGCACTTGGAATCAAAACAAGTGTTTTATAGATAGATGAATACCGTCAGGCCTTTTAGAGTGTAGCAAACGTTACAAGCCATTGAGTATTCATCCATCCCCACCTATGTTTCCTTTCAGTCAATACATCTTTGTCCTTTAAAGTTATATCAGATCCTTTTAAGCTCATTAAAGCAAATCAGGCAATCTCTATGAAAACATAGTGATATTGCCTTAGCAACGGACGAACACATCTTTCTTCAAATAAGGCTTATATCAAATACTGTTGTTCCAAAAACTGCAGTTTAAAGACAGTTTCATTAAAAGCAGTGAAAATTTGCAGAGAAAATTTGCATGCCTTTGAACTGTTCTGTTGTAAAATCCAAAGTAATTGTAATAGATATTTACTTTATAGGAAACTGAACGTAGGATAAATTCTTGGTGTTTCCCTAAAATAAGAGAATATAAAGATGACTCCGTATACTGTATGAACCAAAAAGATTCTACAACTGAGGCAATTGTACAAACATTGCACTTTTTATCTTGGAAAACCTCAATCACTGGCGTCATCAAACTGTCCATATTCCTGATACATGCTAGGTGACCTTCCTCTCTGGATAGGTTCTGCATGGCTGATTGCGGGCAGAAAGTCGTGGCTCACTGGACTCCAGCTAGCCAATCGGGGCTGGAGTGGCAAAGTATACGTTGGCACAAAATCTGAAATTGACAATAAAACAATGCGAGAGTTACAAACAAGCCATTAACATGCAAAATGTCACCACCTGCCATTTGTTACAGATGCAGTAATTTGTTACAAATGGTGGTGAAAAAGTGTTATCAATCATCTAATTTGCATACAGTGAACCTATATCAGAAAACCTCTCTAATCAAAACACCTCTCAATGTGATCCCTCCGCTATAATGCTGAAGCGATTGTAATACATAACGAAGCTTAAAATTGAGTGGCTATTATTGATAGATGGGGCTATTTTACAGGTGATTTAATATTATAGATCTGTTGAAAGCTTGTTCCGATAATATCGTCTTTATTCTAATCTCCTTAAACCAGAGCCTAGCCAACCTTCCCACACTCACCATCATAAAACAACTGATTACGAAATCTTAATTTTATTTAGGGGAATGATGACTTGCATTTACAAAGGTAAAGTTTTTAAATAGAGATTTACATAAGTGTTAAACACACCACTTAAGGGGATTGAAATTTCTTGTTTGTCAACCAGAGTTTTATGTAGTATTAATGGTCTTAAGATTAGGATTAAATGCCTAGATAGCTAAAATCTATAATCAGCACTGTGCGATTTTCGTTTCTTATCTTAGTACACTTGCACTAAGAAATATTCTAAATTCAGATGAACGTATCACCAGCATATTGGTCAATCCTCGTTAAAATGTATGGGCTTTGAAACATTAATTTGAATATTTTTACTTTTAATAAAAGTGTAACTCGTTACTGAAAACCTTTCTTTTGGAAAAATTACTTTTGTAAAAATCATAGGCTGATTTAATTTTATAAACATAAATACAACCTTCATCAAAATATTGTATTTATACTCTATTGATTTTGAGACCCAACACATAATGGTTTTCCAGAAGTACTTCCATTGCCATGGATGCATTCAATTATGCATACGACACATTTGAACTACCAGAATTCTTAATATTTCAATTCAATTTTGAGCACCATATGAGAAAGCTGGCTGTTCATCTTTTATTTAATTCTCTCTAATCTGTTATGTTATGTTATATTTATTTTCTATCTTGCACTTCAGATATGACTCCATATTGCATTGAATACAACAGTGTTTGTTGTTGTTGCTAGGGGAGACGAATGTCTACACATACGCAACATCCTATAGATGTGATCACTCACTTTTAAGTTGAATCTCAAATGAGGAAATCTAGTACATGTACATGTATAATAAAATTACTTTCAAATTTTCGGTCAGATCAATATATTTTGCATTTCATTTCATCTCATTGTATTTGTATTGATGTGCATCGGCTTAGCTATATACCTATTTTTCGAGAGAAAAATTGAATTTGAATTAAATCAATACATACTGCATAGATTTAATTGCTGCTTGAAGGAGCAGATCTTTACAATTTACAATATCAGCTGCCAATAGCCTATTTAAAAAACATATTTGTGTCCCTAGATTTCTATTCATAAATTTTAAGCCACATGCTTTTAATATGAATTATTTATATTGTTTTTTTTTCTAAACAACAAAGGTTTATTACTAACCTAAGAATCAAAGCCTTGTATATTAAGCTCTGAGGTGATCAGAAAAAGTAATATACATTATTCACGCTTATGAGATCTAAATGACCCCAAGAAGTAGCTGTCATGGCTTTTAATGAGAGTTTCATTATGAAGTGAAGGCCAGGTATTTATGAAAGTGTAAAATCCAGTGAATGCCATTTTAATTTAGTGACTGGATTTTTATTGACAATATTTTCAGTATTCTGATTGGTTAAAGCTAGATCAAGGGGTTATCTCCTTCCCCAAGAGTAAATTAAGCTGGCAAATTCAAACTATTTGAAAGGGCACTACATTATAATTAATAGACAAACAAATCAATCATATTGCAGAAGAAATCAGTAGAAATCTGCATGTATGCATTCATCAATATTCATAAATAAAATAGCACTTTTGGAACAGAACAAAAACATTGCATATTTGCTCTGTGTTCCAAACAGAGAGCCTAATTCTGGGAATTCTAGGAATCGTAACGAAATCTGGAATCGTTGACACCTCTAGTTATTTAGTATCAGAATTACAGACAACATCAACCTTTTGAATATTAATGCCTTCATCATACTCACCATATGGATTAGATTCAATTTCCTCATCCCAATCTTCATGTTCTCCATCCTCATTTAGTGCAGATACTGTATTTTGATTGTCGTTATTATGTTCAGCAGGGTTAGGGCCATCTTTTTGACTAGTGTCACCAGATTGGCCAGCAGTTCCATTGGGAGATTGTTGAGATTCATCAACCAGTGCTGGAATAAGCATGAACTTCATAAAGATGGCAGCACCTCACAGACATGTATCTTGGATGCAAAATCATAGTTCCACAAACCAAACTTCAGTTACCACCTCCAGTGCAAAAATTACGTAATAATTACTGATATAGTTTTAATTTATTTAAACTAAAACTATATCAGTAATTATTATGCAAGACGTGGATCAGGGGGAGTAGGTGTCTTAATCCATGAACGAGTGTTCACCATATTTAACATTGAACTTTTAGATGATGAGTCTGAAGGAATTTTGTGGATGAAACTTTCATGCAAAACATCAGATACAGTGATATGTTTATGTAGTTGCTATTTGCCTCCCAAAGACTCTACACTGATATATCATCTTAAAGAGAATTTAATTGTAGAGTTACCCAGAAGATATTAGTTTAGTATGATTAATATCTCACGTTACGGCCTATACTAAAGAGTTTGTAAGGTCACCATTTCCGATGATCTTTTCAACTAAAGCTATAGCATTGTGTAATAGTTATTAAAGCAATGGCTAAATGTGACTTTATTGTGGAAGAACAGACCCCTAGTATAGGCAGGCTTTGCCAAGGGGGGTTTCACTATAAAATTCCAGGGGGTTAAAAAAGGGTCAAAATTACGTTAAAAGTGCTCAGAATGACAGAAAACAGCATAATTTTGAAAGTATTTTTGTGGTGTAAATCAGTCACAAATCATTTATGTCATTAGCTTAATCCATAGCACACAACAGCATAAGTGAATGCCTACACCAAAGAATGGCATCAGTTGGAGACAATTACAATAAAGTAATGATAAAAACAAGGGATTAACATGCAAAATGTCACAACATGCCATTTGTTACAGACACCAATCCCATACAACCACCAACACCATACACCGAACACCACAATAAAGTTGGAGACCATAACAATATGTCACTATTTCTGGTGGTGACATAAAAATAGAAAATTAACTTACTACATGCTTCTGGTTCAGGTGGACATTCCCAATCATCATTGCTATCATAACTCTCCCCATCACTCTCACCAGAAGAATACTGTTGTTTATATCTCCACCTCCCTGACTTGTCCCCAGGGTGTGTGTACACCTCACGTTCTGAGGGACCATCATGCGAGCGCCATATGGACAGGCTTTGCATCATTGCGTTGCGTAGGACGTTTTCATTATATTTTGGCGGGGGTTCAGGCGAGTCACTGTCAGTGTCTGAGGCATCATCTCCATCTTCTCTCTCTATCTGCAACACAAGGTGTATATATATATATATATGAGCCAGGCCACAGGAAAAGGGGTCTTATAACAGATTTTTCAATATTTTTTTTTGTTTATCTTAGAAGCACATAAAGACCTTTCAAATGAGCCATGACTTATGACTTAACGATTTTTCCTTGCATATATAGACCAAAAAGTTGGATTCTAATTTAGCACACTTTCTTCTTAATCTTGGGCACATTTTTGGCTCTGTAGCACAATTTTAATTTTTGTGATAAGACCGGTTTTCCTATGGCCAGGCTCATATATACTGTATATCATTTAATATATCATATCATTTCTTTCATAGTCAATATTACAAATCAGCTACTACCAATCGCCCAAGCATTATAGGTAGTTGAATTATTTCATATATTGGCTAATTCAAAAGTATTTCTATAGTAGAAACCTTTATAGACTTCTAATCAAATTAAGAGCTATTGCCCTTTGCAGGGGCAGACACGGAAGCTAACATGAGTTGACACATTATCCACATTTTTGAAAATTTGCATATAAAAACTGAAATTTCTGAAAATTTGCTTATAAAAATTGAAACTTGTGAAAATTTGCATCCCAAAAACTACAAAGACCCCTTTTCTGAAAACGGAGACCCCTTTCCATCTTATCAAAAACTGAGGCACAAGTAAGACTCAAACCATAAACTATTAAGAGTAAATATAGTAATTTACCATGCAGATGTCAGCTTTGAGGCCATCAGTTGGGATCTTGCCTCTCCAGTTCCCTTTGTTAGATGCTTGTCTTGGAGCATAGGTGGGTACGAAGTTGATCTTTGGAATCTTTTTCCATGATACGCCAAACTTGTTCTAGAAACAATAAGAACAATAAAGGAGTTTAAAGGAGTTACACATTCATTTTACTCAAACCATTTATTTTTAAGTTTTGTGGCTAACACACACAGACTTGCCAGCCTATAGTGTTTTGCAGGAATGTACCAAAATATTTTTGGACCATCAAAAAATAAATTTTATTTTTCATGTGCACTCAAGACATACAAGTACAAACCCACCTATGTTGTGATCAGTTCGTCAAACTTCCTAAATTACTTAATGCAACAAGCAGATTAGTCCCGACTAAACCGAATACCAATACTCACCAATTAATGGGAAATGATTCTAAGTGGTTTACATGTTGAACCCTTTGATAATACCATTTGATGTATTGTACAGAAATCAAGAAAATATTGTAATACTGTACAATCTAAATAAATATTTGATTAACTTATAGAATTAATAATATAAAGATTTGAAAATTTTGTAAAACTTCCACAACCCCAAGTCCTTCAACACACAGTACCACATTCTATATACTAGTTAAATCCACAATTGTTAAACAAAACTGAGACCAAATCAGAAGTAGAGAGTGAAGAAAGTCATCACACAAGAGAAATCGCAATATGATAATACAAAGGATGACACCAAAGACTGGAAGCTCTGCCATGGATTAAAATGACATATGGAAATTGCGTAGTTTAAAGTATGGGGTATCCTGATTCTTCACTCGCATTGTTGAGACTCTAGATTCTCCAAAGATCTCAAACTGTACCTTGCATCCATATTAACCCCTCCTTATTAGGAAAATCCGACTGAACACAACGAAGACACAATGAAGGCGGAACTACATGGATCAACGATCACAGTAGCAGTTAACAGCACATTACTAAGCACTGTAAATAGTGATACAAATGCAATGTTAACGAGTATACTGGTCATTGGGATTCATTTACTATCCCTGCTTTTGTTTTTACGACTTTGTGAATACCTGGGAAGAACTCATAACCATGATATAATGACTTTTGAGAGGATTGATTAACCAACAACCGAAACAGTGGCATGTGTAAGACCAGCATATGCGATATCATAATCAGCTAAAGGGATATCATAATCAGCAAATATGATATTATAATCAGCAAATGTGATATTATGATCAACAAATGTTTTATCATGATCAGCAAATATGATATCATTATCAGTAAATGTGATATTATGATCAGCAAATGTGATATCATTATCAGCACATGTGATATTATAATTAGCAAATGTCATATCCAAAATAGCGAAAGTGTTACCATAATCAACAAATGTGATATTATAATCAGCAAATATGACATGATCAGCAAATATAATATCACAATCAGCAAATATGATATTATAATCAGCAAATATGACATTATAATCAGCAAATATGATATTATGATCAGCAAATATGATATTATAATCAGCAAATATGATATCATTATCAGTAAGTGTGATATTATGATCAGTAAATGTGATATCATTATCAGCACATGCGATATTAAAATTGGTAAATGTCATATCAGAAACAGCTAAAGTGATATCATAATCAGCAAATGTGATATCATAATCAGCAAATATGATATCACAATCAGCAAATATGATATTATAATCAGCAAATATGATATCATAATCAGCAAATATGATATAATAATCAACAAAATATGATAGCATAATCAGCAGTTGTGATATTATAATCTTCAAATGTGATATCATCATCAGCAAATATAATTTTAGATTTTTGTGTCTTGAAATTTTGCTGTGAAATAATATTATGTTGTCTTCGAACTTGTCTTTGAAATAATATGATGTCATATCTTTGCCTTCAGCTATGAAGTGATATAACCAGTGACATCATATCATCGCTAATGACTCCGGAGTGATACAGTCCACCATATTACATGAAAATGAATCATGTCATATGATCTGGAATATGCATCATCACAACTGACCAATCAAAATGCTTAGAAATTCCTCACAATGTGATAATTAGTCAGCATGATATTACATTTAGTAAATTTGATATTATAATCAGCAAATGTGATATTTTAATCAAATGTGATATCAAAATCAGTAAACGTGATATTATAATCAGCAAATATGATAATACAAAAAAACTGGAAACCCTAACACCATTTTCCCTATAATATCTTTGTCATTTTAAGAAATAACTTTGCACATTTGTATGTCACTCAATTTCCTATTTGCCTACCTTATTTCATGACCATCAGATTGATAGTCACAGTGTTACAGCACTTTAAAGAACATTCCCGGTGGCCATTATTGCGCTGTAGACCAACCTGCACATGTCATCCAAAATGTCCCTACCTATGGGAGTATGGCAGAGATAGAGTGTATAAGAATGACTTCAGGACAATTGCAGACCTCAAAAGTGAGATCATCTGTATCATTCAGGCCATACCTGCTGAGGAATGCATTTGGATCATTGAAAACTGTGCAGGTTTTCCTACCACGCAATAATGCCAAACCTGAAGCATGTTGTTCAAAGTGCTGTAAATATGAAATATGGTAGGGTAGTAGGTAATTGAATGATATACAAATGTGTGAAATATCAGGGAGTAATTTCTTAAAATGACAAAGATATGAGGAAAATGCAGGATTTCCGTTTTTTGACCACCCTGTATATTCAGTAAATGTGATGTTATGTTATAATGTGATGTGATGGTATTATCACTTAATATGATATCATAATCTGCAAATGTGATATTATACTCCACAAATGTCACGTGATATTATATTCAGTATAATCAGCTAAACGTGATATTATATTCGGTAAATGTGATATCATAATCAGCAAATGTAAGAATGTGTAACTCCACAACTATTTGCTTCACCACTTTGTATTTGAGATGTGTCCAACACAAGCAAAGATACTTTGCTTTTCATGATTTTGTTATATGGGCTCTATGGGGAGTCTACCGAACCAAGAAAATTTCAAAGTTGATAAACAATGTTTAAAACAAATTTTTGGGATGTTACTTTGCACGTAGATTTCGAATATTATTGACTAAATTCTGAATATTTCATGACGAAAATAAAGATTATTTGTTAAAATATCTGATTTAAAATAGTAAAAATAGATTCTCATTATTGCGCATGTGGAACATGGTTACCTTATTCAAACTACGGTAAAACTTGTCTAAGCGAAGTCCTCTCTATATTGAACACCTGTCTCTAGTGGACACCCTTCCTTAATACATGCTCAACTTACTTCTACATAAACTAGAAAAACAGCAACTCCACGGAGTAGCAAATCCCACCGAACAAAACATGTTTTGATAAAAAATTTGAGCCAAATTCATCCATTGGTATTTGAATTATCAAAGATTATGATTTTATAAAACATGGTTGCCATTTTGAAATTCAGCTGTCATCTTTAGATTTCTTCTTTAGCAGAGAATGTCCATCCAATAGTATTTGAGTTATCAAAGATTACTTTTTTAATGAAAAATGGCAGCCATTTTGAAATTCAGCTAACGCCTTTGAAATTTCTTCTGAAGCAGATCTCCTTTTTCCCTAAACATCAGCATATAAAATTGGAACCAAATCCATCCACTGGTATTTGAGTTATCATTAATTACGTTTTTTTACGAAAAATGGTGGCCATTTTGAAATTCAGTGGCCATCTTGAACATTTATTTTTGAGCAGAACTTCTTTGTCTCTAGGCATCAGCATATAGAATTTGAACCAAATCCGTCATTTGGTATTTGAGTTATCAAAGGTTACGTTCTTTTATGAAAAATGGCGGCCATTTTGAAAATAAGCTACCACCTTGAAAATCCCTTATCGAGCAGAGCTCCTGTGTCCCTAGGCATCATCATGTATAATTTGAACCAAATCCATTCAATGGTAATTGAGTTATCAAAGATAATGTTTTTTTACGAAAAATGGCCGCCATTTTGAAATTTAGCTGCCATCTTGAAAATCCTTTCTCGAGCAGAGCTCCTATGTCCCTAGGCATCAGCATCTAAAATTTAAACCAAATCCATTCAATGGTATTTGAGTTAATAAAGATAACGTTTTTTTACGAAAAATGGCTGCCATTTTAAAATTTAGCTGCCATCTTGAAAATCCTTTCTCGAGCAGAGCTCCTATGTCCCTAAGCATCAGCATCTAAAATTTGAACCAAATCCATTAAATGGTATTTGAGTTATCAAAGATAACGTTTTTTTTACGAAAAATGGCCGCCATTTTGAAATTTGGCGGCCATCGTGAAAATGTCTTCTTGAGCAAGGATCCTTTGTACCCAGGCAACAGCATATAAAATTTGAACCAAATCCATCCACTAGTATTTGAGTTATTAAAGATTATATTTTTTCCGAAAAATGGCCGCCATTTTGAATTAAGCGGCCATATTGAAAATTCCTTCTCGAGCAGAGGTCCTACACCCATAAGGCATAAGCCTATAAAATTTGAATGAAATCCGTCAACCAGTATTTGAGTTATTGCCCGGACACACGAACGGACGGACGGACGAACGGACGGATGGAAGAACGGACGGAAGAACGGACGGACGAACGGACGGACGGACGGCTTTTCTATATCCCCCTCGAACTTCGTTCGGTGGGATAATAAGTCTCTCTGTATTGGACACCTACCAACATTGAACATTTTTTCTCAGCAAGAAATGTTCAATATGCACAGGTGTTAGTGTAGATGTGATGTTCTTTAATATAATCCATTACCCTATTAACCCCATAATGTTTAATGAAAACTAAGAACTATTACAGATAAGGAAACCATTAGTTAAGGATAGGCAAAACAATCATGAAATATTCATCAACTAGAAAATGGCAATGCCTATGCAAAGCAAAACCAATTTAATTATTGTCAAATGTCAGAAACCATGAATTGACTGTGTCATACTTGATAAATGTGTTTAAATATAAAACATCAACAAAATTTATTACATTTTATAGTAATGAAAAGCAAAATATAAAATGAAACCTAATTAAATGTATAAGTGAAAACAAAGTTACTGTAAAATTGACATTGACAAAAAATGCTCCTTCTGTGATAATTTTGAGCCAATACTTTAGAAAATAAGGTCATATTATTTCAAAATTTGAGGCACATTTTTCACATATGAGGCCCAAAAATGTCCATTTTTAGGTTTGCAGTCAAAATGATGAACTAAATTTGTCAATAATTTTTCTGACCATTAGGGGGCAGAGGTTCATCCATACCCCCATTTGAATGGTACTGTTCCATAGGACATATGTGGGCAAAATATGAAAACATCAGGCCAACAACATTTAAACAAATAGACAAACTGAAGCACATTCCACTGATATCTGATCATCAGGGTAATAACATAATTACAGATGACTTTATTACTCATGGCACTAATAGCAGCACTTATTAAGATAAATACGAGAAAGCATAAAACGAAACATAATGTGACTGCATAGTGAGAGATACAAGATTGAGAGAATTTGGGCAGGTACAGCCTTATAGCAGTATGTATACTCAGTTGTCGAAACTAAGTTACGTCAAGTTGTCAATGTACTCATTACAATCAACCCTTCCCAATGGATTTGAAATAACTGGCTGTCAATTTATGAGATGACAGGCTAATTGCTAACCTGACAATCAATGTTTTCAATCTTTGTATAGAACTTCATTTAGAAAACATCTAAATATCATGCAGGTACATATTCAAAGAAGTACGAACATTCATCAAACAAACAAACAAACAAACAAACAAACAAACAAACAGCAAGTCATACTTGAAGGAGCAAATAGAAGTATATGCTGCCAGACTGTCAAGGAATGGGTGATATTGTTGGGCCATCAACTTGATTCTGGAAATCACCGACAATAATGATTGGTCACTGTAAATACATGGTTGTGATTTCATTGGCAAATAAACTGCCAGCCCTTAATATTTTATTGGATAGTTGAGTTGACTGGTATGAAAGACGGAGTTGACGGGTAACAGGAAATGAAATGACGGCACTCAAACTGAGTTGATGGGTACCAGAGAATGAGATGAGGGGGTATGGTTTGCTGTGGACTTTTAATAAAACTGAGTTGCCAGGTATGTATACTGAGATGATGGATGACATGCACATGTTGAAGTGACTTGATGGCAGCTTATTATTCATGTGACAGCAGAATGATGGCCCCCGTCAAGGAACAATCACTTAAAAGTATTGATATATTTTAGACTAATGGATTATATGAGAAAGACAGGAATGAGTATGGAGAACTTATTCTAATCACAGTTAGTGTTGTTTGCTGTGTTTGAGTCATGAAGTCTGTGCAAAGAAATAGGTGTTAGAATTTATGAATAAAAATAGTTACAGTACAGTTACAGTGTTGGTAGGCATTCACTACAGAGAGGGTAACCTATACAGAAGTCCCATAAAGGGTGTCCCATTGTCCACTAGAGAGAGGTGTTCACTAAGACAGGTTTAAACTGTATTTTCAACACAATAGGAAACATTATGAAAGACACAAATATGAACAACCAGACACTACTAAATAACATTCTTAACAGCACTGAGTTTGAAGAAAAAATCCACAATGCAACTATGACATATGTTATTTTGAGCATTCTTGGCTTGCTTGGGACAATCAACATTCTGTGTATTGTTCTTATAATAAAACAGGACCAACTGAAGATTCCTGATAAACTTTACTTGAACATGCTCATTGCTAACATCACATATGCAATTGCCGAGGCTTTGATTGTCATACTCGTTTATGTGCTACCATATGATGACATACAACAACAGAGTACTGAGCTACATCATGTGGTTCCAATGTATATTTGTCAAATTATCTCAGCAACCGCAGTCACCGCATGTTTCTCAGCGCTCTTGATGACAGGCTGGAGTATTTATGTTGCTATAACAACACCGCTTCAATTCCATATAAGGTTCACAACACGCAGAATTAGAATATTTTCTGTGGCTTCTTGGATCGTATCGCTAGTTGTAGGACTTTTATGTTTTACGTTTGAATACATCGAGGGATCTCTCACTAATTTCAATTCAAAGCGACTTGACCTGATACAACCGATAACTACCGTTGTATCATTAATTGGAAACTTGATCATAAGCGGTATCATGGGATATTTCATGTCGGTAATCTACAAAACCAGAAGAAAACGATCGGAAATTCCCAACAATGACACCCACTCAAATAATCTCTCTCAAGGAGAGAGCAATGTAAAGATGTTCAATATCTTAATAATGGTTTTGATTGTCAATATTTTATCTGCATTTGCGAGAGGTATAATACATCTTCTGACAATTGTTGGACTTATAGAAACACAAGCTATCCCAAAAGTCATAATTATACTCTATCTAATTAGCCCTGTTTTATACGTCATAAAATCTCCTGAGCAGAAACTAGTACTACATAAATGGATGACTGGCTGTTGCAAACAAGGAAATGTGAGAAATGGTAGGAGTGACATATTTTATATAACATCACATAATGATTCACAAGTGCCAGCCAATACTAATGGTACAAACAATGAAGTACATGTACATATCCATGAAACTGCTCTCTAAGATCATGAAGCCCATGATATGATGAGATGTACTTTACTGTTATAAATCAGTTATTTTATCGTATGATCTGTAAAATGAAGCCCTCTGATTGGTCAGTTCTTGTGCTGTTCCAATCTGCATTGCTACCGAGATTGTCCCTTTTGATTATCTCCATCGCAATACAGAAAATATTAGTACGGAGGGGACAATCTCAGTAGCAATACAGAGGATCACACAATAAAAATGTTATTGAATGATTTGAAGTGCAATACAGGATATATTCTGTCTCGATATGCTGTATTGGCACTCGACTTCGTCTCGTTCCAATACGGAATTTCTTGAGCAGAATATATCCTGTATTGCACTTCAAATCATTCAATAACATATAGAATTGGTCTTACTTTGACAACAATAGAGGAAATAACTCTTGAATATTAATAAATCACATATTAATGATTGTACATGTACTTATGATTGTAATTATGAAAGACATACCATGGGCTTTCAACTAGAAGGAATCCCTCCTCGAAAAAACGTGTGACATACAAGTTAATTCAGTACAGCTTTTTTGCATGATTTCTGGGGAAATCCTGCTCTACAACTGAGCTATACCAGTAGAGCACTAATGACCATGAAACAATATGGAGTCTCATGAACTCAATGGTCTTGAGGAAATGCATTAAAGGCAAAATTCTAAATGCTCTCCATCATAACATCATCATGAGGTAAATGCTAACTCTACTGAGGGTGAATTGCCAACATAACACAGTATATATGTGGCCATTTTGAATTTTTGGCACAAATCAAAATGATGATACAATACATGCAATTTACTCTTAAATATTTGAGTACAATAAATTCATACTTGAAGGAACTCTCATTTGTGTGAATTCCAACAAATAGGTAACCAAGTGCATGATTTGAAGATTACTTCAAACCTACACATTACATTAAACCTGTAAAGTGGAACACCTATAAATGAAGCACTTTTCAAGGTTCAGTTACCCATTTACTTCAGGGCTCTCGCCAGGCTTGTAGACTGTGGCGCAGCACCACACTCTATTTAGCTCCCTCCACACCCTATTGGCAAATCATGACTGTTTAAAACAGTCTAAACTTGACTGAATATACAATAATAGCATGTAAAAAGGATAAAACATGACATAAATATGATTTATCACGATTGAACGGTTATTCTGAGGATGTTAGCACCACACCCTAAATATTTCCTGGTGAGAGCCCTGTACTTAATGTAAAATAAACCGTTGTATTACAAAGTAGAACACTAAAAACAACTTCCAAATGGAATGCTATTCTGAGGTACCAAAGGTCTTCCACTTGCAAATCCTGGCCACAGGCTTGAAAGTGAATACTAAATTTTACCTTATCCATATCAAGAATCTTCAAGCTGAGGAAGTTCTCCAGTCCTTCAGGTACTTCAGTTAGTTTATTGTTGAACAGATCAAGGGTTGTCAGTTGGGTCAACTTGCTGAAGGATTCAGGAAGCTCTGCCAACTGAAAAAATTGATACAATTATACATGTTAACAAAACACACAGTGATGAATATCAGCTTTAAAGAGCAAAATGGCAATCATGGAATTTACCCAGCATGCTTAAAATGTAATCATATGTTGGCACTAGTTTGCTTGTACATCTGTAACATTTCAAAATGAACGGGTAAGGAGTTTTCCTAGAATTTTACTAACAAGACTTATGTGCTGCCTGCCTGCTAAAAATGCATGTACGGGGGGTGATCAATAAGTAATGAACACTTTTTTACACAGATGTTTTTTATAGACCAATCCCTTCGATTTTCTTATCTGTGTAAAAGCATCCATTACTTATTGATCACCCCTCGTACAAGTTCATTAGCACAAGACAACTATATAGCACTTTAAAAAAAGAGTGACAAAAGAGTGACAAAAAGGTACTGTTGTGGCAGAATGACATGCTATGTAGTTAGGCATTGAGTCCCTATACCCCTAGCCCCTCTCCCTTATTTGCTTCACTTATAGAGGTGGAACACCATGGTCTTACAACAAGATATATGTTTTGCCATTTTACATATGTCTGAAGATTTTTCAAATTTTTCACATTGATCCAACTGGATTTTCAACTGGATAAATAAAAAGGGAACTCGAGACAATGCCATTTCAGAGTTTTTCAGAATTTCGATAGATCCGTCTCCAGATAAAACGAATACAATACAATTGTTGTGATAGTTTCAACTAGACCACCCTTTCCCACAGTTTCATTTTGCTTCTTTCCTAAAAGAGAGCTTCAACTACATCCTAATGTGTTAGGGTTCAACACCCAGGGTAAAACTACACTAAATCAAGGACTTGAAATGTGCCTAAATACTCAGAAAAATATATTAATATACATGATTATATTAATGAAGAAAATCGCTGAATTGATACATAAACCATTGAAAACTAAATCATTACACTGAGAATGTTTTTATTTGCAGACATACGGTAAAGCAAAAATACAAAGATCTCCACTCACCAGGTTATTGTCAAGTTTAAGCTCTTTCAAAGAACTCAGCTCTCCAAAGTTACTTGGAAGTATCTCAAGTTTATTCTTGGACAGTTGAAGATACCAGAGATTGCCTAGGTTACCAAAACTGCTTGGTAGGTCAACTAGCCCATTCTGACCTGAAACATAAATTGATTATAATTGATTTGAAAACTTATTTATTCTGGGTAGCTCTATCAGTAAAAAAACTGGTCTTCCTAGAGGCCCAGTAAAACATATATGTACATGTTCCGTAAAACCTGTATCCAAACGTGCACGTGTCTTTAATCTGAAACCAATCAATGTGAACACTTTCTCTCAGTCCAAAATTTGTAAGCTCCCATTCACTTACTTAAAAATCTTGATATGTGAACACCTGTTAATCTGAACAATGCTGGCTAATCCCATTGGTGTTTGGATTAGACAGGTTAACTGTACTAGTGTTGTTTCCCAGATTTGTTGTATGGAAGATTGTTTTTAGCACAACATTAAAGTAATTTGTAATTTTTAGTGTGTAGTGTGCAGCTATTTTTATACTTTCATTTTTTGCAGTAGTTTTCATTTAGACCAATCACCTCACATTTAACAGATCCCTTTTTTACTCTTTAAGTGCAATTTTGTAAATATTTGTAATAATTTTAGGATTTTATAATGAGAGATGTATGGAACAATATGATTACAATTATATTATCCACTAACTATTAATTCTTACACACAGTGTATATATATAATGACATATTTACCAAGATCTAGCCATTCTAGAGATTCCAGTGCACCAAAGTTGTCAGGTAGTTGAATGATCTGATTTTCATCCATCTGTATTTTTTTTAAATTCCTTAACCATCCAAAATTATCAGGAAGAAGCATAATCCAGTTCCCATTCTGAAAATTCCGTCTCTCCAACTCATGTATTACACTTCCTATATGAAAACACTCCAAATTTTCTAACTCGCCTAACGAGCTGGGGAGACGTGACATAAAGTTCCCTCCACAGTCAAGACATTTCAGATTTTTAAGCTGTCCAATGCTTTCTGGTAAAGCCATGTGTTTTAATTGATTGTCTTTAAGTACTATATGCGTAGCTTCCCGCATGTCACCTACCCATTCTGGAACAACCTGAAGTATATTCTCTGCAGCATAAAATTTCCGGATTTTCGTTGAAGATTTAAACTTTTCCGGGAGGAATTTAATTTGATTCCTTGAGATGTCTAGCTCTGTGATATTACAAAGGTCCCCAAGTTCTTCTGGGATAGATTCTAAATTATTACTGCAAACATTTAGGACTCCCAATGAACAAAGTCCCCCGATACTTTTTGGCAATTCAGTTAAAGCATTACTGCAGATTTCTAGCACCTTGAGATTTTTGAGTAACCCTACCGTATCTGGCAACAGTGATAATTTATTTTCATCACAATAAAGCCTTTCTAGACTATATAGCTTCCCAAATTCTTTAGGTAGAGTTTTAATCTGGTTTCCAACAATATTTAAGGATTTAAGATTGCACAGATCCACAAATGTATTTGGAATGAACGTCAGATTATTTTCATTCAAATACAATTCCTGTAGTTGTGTGAGATCACTAATGCCTTCAGGGAGTTCAGAAAGCTGGTTACCAATCACAGACAGTTTCGTTAATGCTTGAAGGTGCTGGCCTATGTCTGGTGGTAAACTCTCTATATCATTGTAGTCTAAGTACAGCTCATTTAACCTGTCCAACTGAAAAACAAATTGATAATTTGTAATTAAATAAATAATTAAAGTATGCATGATGTACATAAAATATATACAGTGAAACCTGTTAAGTGGAACACCTCCAGAAGTGGGACACCTCAGTTAATAGAACACTTTTCAGAGTCCCCTCACCAACTGACTTAATGTAAAATGAACCTCTATAATATGATTTAATCTGTAAGTGGAACGCCTTCCAAGTAGAACACTTTTTAGAAGTACAAAAGATGTTCTACTTATACAGGTTTTACTGTATTTCCACATATATGCAACTAGAAACATAAATACACGAGAACATGTATTTACATGAGTTGATTGAGTTGCAATATACTGTACCTGAGTATTATAATAACTGTTTAACATTTAGGCAATGCATGTCCCCCTTCATTACAAAGCCGTTAAGTCTTTATAAACAAAATTGATGAGCTTCTGTTGGAGAAAATTTTTATTTTTATCATTAGTAACATCCAGTTACTTAAAAGCGAATCAGTCAAGAGTATATGCATCCAAGGGCTCCAATAATTGAGTGAGAAACCCATCGCTTTAGCAACAACGCAACCAAATGTACAAATTCAGGAGCATCCTGGTTGCTGAAGTGAGGGAATTCTCACTCGTCACTCGATAATTGGAGCTGCGAAAATCATAGGGCATCATAAGAAACATTTATCCTCTGGATACATTACAATTACCTTTAAAACATTTTGAGGAACTTCAACAATATCTAAAGATGTCAGTGTCAATGAGCCATCAGCATCTCCCTCTTTACCCTCTATGAACTGAGAGATAATTTCCTCAGCTTGCTCCATTGTGATCTTAAACAGAAGAGATGGGTTTGCATTATTTACTTCTTAGTACATGAAGATAACCAGGCCACTGGCGGATTCAGGGGGGGGGGGCTCTTGGGTGGGCCCAAAAAATTTAAGTACTATTCTAAAAACCGTCATGTTAATATTTCATGAATTGAAATATTGGCCCTGTGAGTAACAGCATTTGAATTTACATTAAATACGGCTTTCCTGTTTGGTGAAATGAACTGTTTGTTTTTAACTCATCATAAATACAGTGTACATGTTATTTTAGACAATTTCTATTATCTTACAATATGGGGCAAAATCCCACGGAGTCCCATCTTGCCCCATCGAGGATGAACATGTTCATTCTTTCCATGGGGCAACGTGGGATTTTGATCATATGACTTGCTTTATGGGACTCCGTGGGATGTGATGGGACATAGGGCTCAATGGGGCAAGTTGGGATTCGATGGGGCACGATGGGACTCGACACAGGGGCTTGTCTCAAGGCGTCGGGCAAAATACTCTTAATAAGCAGTACACACTCATCGGAGGGCTTGCCCGACGCCTCGAACCAAGCCCCTGTGGGACTCGATGGGGCAAAGTCATCAAGGTACAATGGGAATTCGTGGGATTAGATGGGGCAAGTTGGGATTCGATGGGGCAAGATGGGACTCGATGGGGCAAGTGGGATGTTGCCCCATTGGTGTATACCGGGCTTAAGGATGAAAATTTGGACTGTGTTCAGAAATTGCTGAGGTTTAAAAATTTAACTCTTTATTTTCACTTTCAATCTTTGCAGCTATGGTTATTTCAGTATATTGAACATCTTAAAAGTATGGTAGTAAAAAAATATACATAAATTTTACTTGATAATATACCATAATATCCCTTATTTCGTGACGTTTGGTCTGCAGAATTCTTTGCAGAGAACTTACATGTGTGAAAGCTGAGGCTTGTTAGAAAAACTTGTAAACGGAAGTGGATATTTTTAACGAAAACGTCGAGTATTTTATTGTTTTTCTCTATGTATAGAACCAATGTCCTACTAATACATATATGATTAGGTAACTACAAAATATTACTATCTATTTTTATACAATCTTTTATCAGGAAGATTTTATATATTTTGAAAATCTATTTCTTTGAAAATTCAATTTTCAACTCAGGCTAAATTTTCCACTGAGCCAGTGAGGGGAATAACAAATGTCTATGGTTGTGTTTTATATAGGAATGTTTATATCTTTGATTACATCATCATCACTGACTTGTCAAAACATTTAGATCTGTTGATCATGTCGAAAGTAGAAACAAAATCGACTTTAGGGGGAATGCATTGAACTTCTTATCGCATCCTACGACCCCTTTAGATTGTGGTCTTACGCCAGTATAATTGGGCAGTCAATGTTTTTACAAAGTTGGAGAAAATACTACGCATTGCACACCTAAATGACCTACCTTGATACATTCCTTAGTATTTTAGAATTCTTTTTATGTAGTTGAATCGCCAATTGTATGGGTTTATCGGCAGAACGAAGAGGTTTTCGTTTTGATAGCAATATTTGCGTGTAATATTTAACTTATTTCAACCGTCAAATTCCTCCATTCAGTTCCTGGCATGCACCAGTCATAAGGGAAATCCCTGGGGAATTCCCCTTCCGACATTTTGAAAATTGCTGATATATTTCCGATGTAAAAACTAAAATCTCTTCGTTCTGCCGATAAACCCATACAATTGGCGATCTAACAACATAAAAAGAATTCTAAAATACTAAGGAATGTATCGAGGTAGGTCATTTAGGTGTGCAATGCGTAGTATTTTCTCCAACTTTTTAAAAACATTGACTGACCAATTATATGCGCGTACGACCACAATCTAAAGTGGTCGTAGAATTCGATAATATAACTTCGACGTATGGGGTCATTTCTATGTAGAGCTAATTGGACCATGGCTGATAATTCAAATTTACGGGTTTGGTCATCTTGGCTAAGAATTTTCCTGCCAGAGATTTTGTTTTATTTTTTAAAACACGGATGTTGAAATAGCCATGGTCGAAGTAGCCCCATGTCGAACGAACTAACTCATATATCGAAGTTTGACACATTCCCCCTATTTTGTAAAAACCTAACAATATCATGATATATATCATATACATGTATATCAAGATAAAAAAGATGTGAAGACTCAGTTCTGGTATGTCAATTTAGTAATTATGAAATATCCTTTTTTATTGTTGAGTATTCATAATTTCTGGCTTTTATGAGAACAAGTTTAACTAGATTTGTGAAATTGAACAAGTTCAATTTAAGACTCCAGATTTATTTGACCTAGATAGATCAGTAAAGAGCTGAGTAAGTAACTGAGTAATTAGCTGAGTAAGTACCTTAGTAGTAGTTGAGTAAGTAGCTGAGTAAGTAACTGAGTAAAAAGCTGAGTAGGTAGCTGAGTAAGTAGCTGAGAAAGTACCTGAGTTAGTAGCTGAGTAAGTTGCTTAGGAAGTAATAACTAATTAAGTAATTGAGTAAGTAGTCAAATAAGTAGCTGAGTAGGTAGAGAGGTAAAGTAGGGTATGCAGGAATTTTTGAAAGTATATTTGATCAATCTGCATCGTGAATACTGGCAAGTGCGAATTTCAAACTTCAAAATGGCGTAGAATCTAAATCGGGGGTCGGATTGCAATTTTAATTTCAGATCCAGATTCCTGAGGAAATTCTACCCCTAATTCATAACTCATACTTTAAAATTGGAGAACTTTTTATTTTGACCTACATTTCGGACACCATATCTCAAAAGTGGGTCAAAAAACTTATTGACGGCAAAATGTTAACATTATAAGCACACTCTTTGCTACAAGTTTACAAACTTTTGGAGAATATCATTGAAGTGTAGTGTCAGAATCGCAAAATAAAAAAACTATGAATTTGACCTAGATTTTGAACTAGGTATTTTGGTGTCCAAACTTTGAAGGAAAGTAGCTTTTGAGGTCGCCTTCTTCTATGGGCTTTCATTATGTTTAGCTGTACTCATTCTATATCTCGTATTTTTATACTTACTTCAAAAAAGGGTGTCTACAAAACAAAGACCTAAGACCTAAGACCTACAAAACTAAGACCCCCCACATTATAAAACTAAGACCCTGTTATAAAACTAAGACCCCCCACGTAATAAAACTAAGACCCTGTTATAAAACTAAGACCCCCCACGTTATAAAACTAAGACCCTGTTATAAAACTAAGACCCCCCACGTTATAAAACTAAGACCCTGTTATAAAACTAAGACCCCCCACGTTATAAAACTAAGACCCTGTTATAAAACTAAGACCCCCCACGTAATAAAACTAAGACCCTGTTATAAAACTAAGACCCCCCACGTTATAAAACTAAGACCCTGTTATAAAACTAAGACCCCCCACGTTATAAAACTAAGACCCTGTTATAAAACTAAGACCCCCCACGTTATAAAACGAAGACCCTGTTATAAAACTAAGACCCCCCACGTTGTAAAACTAAGACCCTGTTATAAAACTAAGACCCCCCACGTAATAAAACTAAGACCCTGTTATAAAACTAAGACCCCCCACGTTATAAAACTCAGACCCTGTTATAAAACTAAGACCCCCCACGTTATAAAACTAAGACCCTGTTATAAAACTAAGACCCCCCACGTTATAAAACTAAGACCCTGTTATAAACTAAGACCCCCCACGTTATAAAACTAAGACCCTGTTATAAAACTAAGACCCCCCACGTTATAAAACTAAGACCCTGTTATAAAACTAAGACCCCCCACGTTATAAAACTAAGACCCTGTTATAAAACTAAGACCCCCCACGTTATAAAACTAAGACCCTGTTATAAAACTAAGACCCCCCACGTTATAAAACTAAGACCCTGTTATAAAACTAAGATCCCCCACGTTATAAAACTAAGACCCTGTTATAAAACTAAGACCCCCCACGTTATAAAACTAAAACCCTGTTATAAAACTAAGACCCCCACGTTATAAAACTAAGACCCTGTTATAAAACTAAGACCCCCACGTTATAAAACTAAGACCCTGTTATAAGACTAAGACCCCCCACGTAATAAAACTAAGACCCTGTTATAAAACTAAGACCCCCCACGTTATAAAACTAAGACCCTGTTATAAAACTAAGACCCCCCACGTTATAAAACTAAGACCCTGTTATAAAACTAAGACCCCCCACGTAATAAAACTAAGACCCTGTTATAAAACTAAGACCCCCCACATTATAAAACTAAGACCCTGTTATAAAACTAAGACCCCCCACGTTATAAAACTAAGACCCCGTTATAAAACTAAGACCCCCCACGTTATAAAACTAAGACCCTGTTATAAGAATCAGTCACCGTGCCTTGCTCTGCTTGCCACAAGGTAGTCTTGCCTCTGGGCCTTGTGTTCCCTAGTAACATACAGATTCTACAAAAGATAGTCTTGCTTCTGGTCCTTGTGTTCCCTTCTAATATACAGATTCTCCCCACTAACATAAAGATTCTACAAAAGGTAGTCTTGCTTCTGGTCCTTGTGTTCCCTTCTAATATACAGATTCTCCCCCCTTACATAAAGATTCTACAAAAGGTAGTCTGGCTTCTGGTCCTTGTGTTCCCTTCTAATATACAGATTCTCCCCACTAACATAAAGATTCTACACATGGTAGTCTTGCCTCTGGCCCTTGTTTACCCTAGTAACATACACATATGGTAGTCTTGCCACTGACCCTTGTTTTCCCTAGTAACATGGTGGTTCAAGATTTCAGACCCATCTTTCTCACATAGATTTCTGAACTTATTTTAGTTAAGAATTCCTAATAGAATTAAGAATTAATAGCTGAAACTGTTCTGTTTGTCCTAGCAAACAATATCCCAATATGCATTTGAAATTCATTTTTGTCTATATGTGTTGACAGTCTGTGATGTCATCATCAATCATCACAATGGGAATTAGGTGAATTCTATCTGTGACAGTGAGATTATCTATGATGTCACATAGTAGTTTGATTTCTAAGAAATGTGGCAGAGTTCTATCTATGACAGAGATGCTTTGTGATGTCATCATGAATTATCTCGTTTCCATTGTGATGATTGATGATGTCATCAGAGTACTTTGTGATGTCATCGTGAATTACCTCATTTCTATTGTGATGATTGATGATGACATCACAGACTGTCAACAAATAGACAGAAGAAGTTGAACTACAAGTTGGAAAATTGTTTGCTAGGGCAAAACAACTCAGTTTCAGCTAATAATTCTTAATTCTATTAGGAATTCTTAACTAACAATGGTTCAGCAATCTGTGCCAGAATGATGGGTCTTAAATCTTGAACTACCATTAAACATCACTTCCAAAACAATACCAGCATAAAATGGAGTATCTCTTTTTATGCTCAGCATAAAATGGGACATCACTTTTTATGCCAGCATAAAATGGGATATCACTTTTTATGCCAGCATAAAATGGGACATCACTTTTTATGCCGGGCATAAAAAGTGATATCAAAAAATTACTTTTTTTAAAAATCAACAAATCCGGGTATTTGTTACAGTCCATTTTTATATAATCCGCTGTTGTATGTTACTGGGGAACACAAGGCCCAGAGGCAAGACTACCTTGTGGCGAGCAGAGCAAGGCACGGTGACTGATTCTTATAGCAGGGTCTTAGTTTTATAACGTGGGAGGTCTTAGTTTTATAACAGGGTCTTAGTTTTATAATGTGGGGGGTCTTAGTTTTATAACAGGGTCTTAGTTTTATAACGTGGGGGGTCTTAGTTTTATAACAGGGTCTTAGTTTTATAACGTGGGGGGTCTTAGTTTTATAACAGGGTCTTAGTTTTATAACGTGGGGGGTCTTAGTTTTATAACAGGGTCTTAGTTTTATTACGTGGGGGGTCTTAGTTTTATAACAGGGTCTTAGTTTTATAACGTGGGGGGTCTTAGTTTTATAACAGGGTCTTTGTTTTATAACGTGGGGGGTCTTAGTTTTATAACAGGGTCTTAGTTTTATAACGTGGGTGGTCTTAGTTTTATAACAGGGTCTTAGTTTTAT